GTAGCGGAGGTGCTAACTCCAAACGCTTTCGACAACGGAATCTTCTGGAATTCTTTCAACTTTCTCTCCTTTTTGTCTTTTGACATTCCTGGCCACTTTTCTGCTGGTATTATCAGTCGTCGACATTCAGGACGAATCCTATAAGGACCCTCGTTTATTAGTGCCCGGTTGATGTTTCTTTCTTGTTCCTCTAACATTTCCTTGAGTTGCTGTACGCATTCAGGCCAACTGAGCTTCTTTTTTTTCATACGGGTTTTAATGCGATTGTTCATCGACTCTGAGGGGTGGCGAATGGTAAAATCCGAGACTCGCCGAGACGCCGAGATCCTAGTTAGAAATCCGAGCCCGAGACTCTTTGGTGAAAAGTTTCGATACTCAAAAAAAGTAAAAACAAACCATGAAAAAACGAGACTTCGAGACTTATCAAAAACGTTTCCGAGATTTCGAGATCGTGCCAAAATTTTCCGAGACCCACGTTTTACGAGGTACCATTCGCCACCCCTACTCTGGGTCGTTGTTATAAAAGAAACTGTCGTCAAACCCGGTCTTCTTTCTTACACTGGCGATCATCATGCTTTTCATGTCCTCTGCGACGTAGTTTAGAAAGTAACTCTAAAATTCGGTACTTTCCTCACTGGTTAACTGCCAATTCGCGTTTTGTCCATGCGGGATATAACGATTCAAGGACAGCATCAAACTCATCGCGACTGACAGCATCAACAAGGCCAAGTTCTTTTTTTGCCTCCGAACCAAATATATCTTCCAAAAAAAGTTTCTCGTGGAACTGGCCGATTCCCAGGTCTTCGTCATCTTACGTCTTAAGTTCTTACAAGAACTTGGCTTTTAAATATATTTCCCACGACGAGATCTCAATTCAACTTCTTTTGATTCCACCACAACACAATTTTCCTTCTGTACAACTAGCTCATTACCTTCTCTTGTCGTCACCTCGCTGCCATAAAAACACTCTAACACAAAACTTGCTGATAGTGCGAAATCCCGACGCACAGCATCGTACATGTACCGTGTCTCAATATACACAATTAGATGAAAAAACACAACACGCAAAACAAAAACAAGCGCATTAATCGTCACCATGCTAAACAAAATTGGAATAATAAAAATTGTTACAGTTATCACAGTAGTTCCAAAAGAAGCCTGAGTCGCTTTTGGTTTCAATTGTTGACAATCGTCTCTTCCTTCATCGGAACAGATTTTTATCAAAGGCAACTCTTTGTGTTCCGCAATGCAAAAATCAAAATCACTACTCTCAAACTTGTTAAACATTTCTCTGTTCAAACTCTTATCCATTTTACACGTACATTCCAGATATTCCTATTTGTCATTGCGTCTATGGGGTCCATGAGTCTTTGATGTCATTGAATGTCTTGATAATTTCCTTTGCTTTTCTTTGAGTTCGCGGACCAGCCCATTCCGAAAACACTCAGTGTTATTTTTTAGTGTGGGCCTACCGCGAACAGTGTGTGCATTTGTAAGTTTAACCCGGGATAACATAATTGAACAATGTATTAACACGTTCCTCGAAACGCCGCGGCCAAATGTTATCCAAACTGTTTCTTACTGCTGCTTCGAAAAATTTCGGATCGAACGATATCCAAATCGTCCCTCATTGGATTATCCACTCGACCTAACAAAATCGACCAATCACAAAGTAAGGAAAAGAAAATGGACATAAAATAAGGAAAACAGCAAATTCAGATGACCTCTTAGGAAACCTGCAATTAAAACTGTCTTTCGATGATTGGTGCATTTCGATCCTCGTCAAAAAAAGGTCAGACGCCAATCATCTTAGCGGACCTCTTAGGAAACGAAAGCTTACTTCAACGGGTTCAAAAGGTCATTGTTTGTGATTTGTGATTGGTGGATTTCGCTCCTTTTTGTGAGTTTCTGTGTTTAAAGGTTCGTTGCTTGTGATCTTATTGTGACCAAAACCCGACGTTAATATTCCAAATATTTTTGATAGATTTCACCCCTGGACTTCAGACTTCCAAATTTCGATGAGGTAAAAATACTGAAGATTCAGATCGACGTTTGAGATCGTAAAAGTGCGATAAGGTGCCGTGCCAGCAGAGCTTTCTTTCTTACGTGCCTCTTACCTTGTACAAGACGTTCGCATGGCAGACATTCGCCTTGCTTCGCTTGTTTACTTATTGCCTTGTTTACGTTAGCACGTATTGCGTGCCTATTGTACATTCGCGTCAAAACCAGCCGCTTTCATTGCCCAAATAATAATAATAATAGTAGCAGTAGTAAAGTCTTTATTTTGTAGATAAAATACATATCCGAAGTTCCAAATTGTGTAATAGAACAGCAAAAAGTTAACAACTAAATTTACAGAGCTCATATTTAAAAACTAGATTTGGCAGCCAATAAGGACATGAATGGGTTAGTGACGTCACACGTCACGCAAGGGTAATACCGTGGAATACCGAGGTGCTTTGTTCAAGTAGCATGTCCTTCAAGTTTCTTATCCACGCGTGCAACACTTTGATCCTTTTGCGGCCCTTAAATGACATGTGACACTAATCCATGTACCTTGTTCTTTTGAATCCTTTGTCCGAATGTACCGACCACACCCTTCTTTGGTGCCTTTACATCTACAGCACTTTTTAGAACCGTTGTCTCACTGCCTGGATCCCACCCTTTTTGTCCCACAATTGCTTGTGGCAACCTTTTGAAACTTTGTCCAAATATGCTGGCCACACCCTTTTTTGGCCTCCCTGTACCCTGTGGCGATGTTCTGGATCCCTTCTCTAAATATCTTGACAACATCCTTTTCGCTCCCTCCACCTGACGAGTCTAACGCACACTCTTTTCAATCCATCCCCATTTAAACACCCCAACCCCATCCCCACCCTAATGCACTTATTCAGATCTATTCCAATTCAAATGCCCCATCCGCAACCTGCAGCACTCTTTTTCAAATGCGACCCTGTTCAAATGCCCCAGTCGGCAACGTGCGGCACTCTTTTTCAAATGCGATCCTGTTCAAATGCCCCAGTCGGCACCCTGCGGCTCTCTTTCAAATCCATCCCTGCTCAAATACCTCATCCTTTCCTCTGGCACTCTTTTTAAAATAAGATAAATGACGCTTATCATTTTAAAAGTAAAAAAGAAAAAAAATATTAGAAATGGTAACTCACTCTTAACTCAAACTCAACTGAAACTCGCAAATCGATCGTTATCATATTTCATTCAAATGCATTCAACACAAACAACTTAAACGTGACACGTTTGTAAGGTAACTTTAGCTTAGCTTTATAATCAGTATGTCACGAGCACGGGACAAAGAAAATAGTTGTGTCCCCAACAGGATTCGAACCTATGAGTGCCCGCCCTGTGTTTGGGAGGTCATGGTTTCGAATCCTGTCTGGGACTCGGCTTTTTTCTTTGTCCTACAGCTACGCTTGTGACATGCTGATTATTTTATTTTCAACATTGTATTTATTTTTAATAAATACGACCTGTAACAGTGAACTATAGCGTTATATTCCTAGTTCCTATAAGGTCCTCTAGGCAGGAATTGAAATCCTTCTATTCTACTTCTTTACCATATTGTCAGTGCTTTTTTTCTCTGTATTGGGTAAGAAGGGGGTGCTAATTTGAATGGGGTGCTTATATTTGAAGTCTGGCGCTTATTCGAATTTTTGCGGTATTTAAGTTCACCTCCTCCTCCTCGGCAAAAAGTTGGCTCGGCTACAAACCGTGTCACTTTTTTTCGATATTTGGATCACCCTCCCGGTCGGCGGCCGTTTCCCGATATAAAACCTTTGTTCTTGACTAGCACAACAACAAAAACTAGATACCAATTAAGCACTCGCTAAACCATCAATTATTTTCGTCCAAAATCGTGTTGGAAGAGCATATTTTACGGTTTAGCCACCCCTCTCTCAACATTTTATTTACTGAATGGAATTTAGATGTTCGATCTAGATCAAACATTTTCAACCAACATTTTGCATCACAAACAAATGTTTGATCGTTTTAACACCCCACGTTAGGCATGACAGATACAATTTTGGACGAAAATGTTTCGTGGTTCAGCCGGGGCAAAAAAGAAGAAAGTAGGCAATAGGCCAGCGAAGCTCAACGAGAAAAAGAGTGAATGATGAACTGTTAAGAGTTTGCGAGCTATTAGTTGTTCTCTCGTTTTTGTCGTCACAGTGGGGCGACAATTAGCGGCCTTGCTGTAAATAAGCCTTGGTTAAAAATGTTGCCTGATGATAGTGAAAACAACCAATTAACCAGCGCATGGGCTATAGTCTTTTTCGGCACCATAAGAGGTTGGTATCTCGGAGTAAGAGTCCTCGGCAGGGAAAGCCCATAATTTCTGTGCTCTCAAACAATTAATGAAATTTCGACGTAGGAGAAAGCATACAACTTAATAACTTGCCCTCTACATGTTGTTTGAGTAATAAAAGACCATTTTGAGTCGACCGCTTACTGTAACGTTCACGGACGGTCATCTTTTTTATTGGTTTCAAATGTGACTGCGATCTGAACTCTAAAACCTGACACTCTCCCCTTATTTAGTACATATAAAACCAAGATGACCGTCCTGGCAGCCAGGACTCGATCTCGACGGAAAAATGGGACGCCGATACTAAAAGGGGTGGCGAATGGTACCTCGAAAAACGTGGGTCTCGGAAAATTTTGGCACGATCTCGAAATCTCGGAAACGTTTTTGATAAGTCTCGAAGTCTCGTTTTTTCATGGTTTATTTTTACTTTTTTTGAGTATCGAAACTTTTCACCAAAGAGTCTCGGGCTCGGATTTCTAACTAGGATCTCGGCGTCTCGGCGAGTCTCAGATTTTACCATTCGCCACCCCTACTAAACGACGGTCTCATAAAATCGATCAGATTTTTCAAGTCGTTGACACTTATTGTTATATGGGAGTTTTACTGAGAAGACTACATAACACTAGATAGAATAATTCGAGGAAGAAAAATGTAACTTTCTTTATTGTCTGTAGCTGGACAGATGCATTCGCCGATTTGATATTGTTTATTACTTTCTCCCTCAGTCCTTAGCTCCGATCGTGCGCCTGACTTTTGGATTGTTATTATTCCATCTGACGCACAACTACATTTGTACAGGGTCACAGAAAGAGCAGTTTGAAGTGGTGACAACCTGCTCACAATAAAAAAAGAACTTTAATAAGTTGACTTTGTGTTTTGTGCAGTTTTACAATTCTAATTTTGCTCTTAGCGATAAGACCATTCACCACTATCGTAACTATGTTATAGCCTACGAGGGGGGTAGGTGAAATATTTTATGCTCCCCGAAGCTCGCCATGTTAAGGTGGTTGCGCGCGGAGTCTGTTGACCTGGTGATGATTCTATTCAGCAGAGTCTGTTGCAAAAAAAAAAAAAGACAGATAGAATCTGTAAAGGTGCAAAACAGCAAGAAACTGGCCTAAGACTTTCACAGTGTATTCACATATGATAAGACATTTTTATTTATTTAGTTCACTAAGCGGAGTTGCATAAACATTCACCCGTCAACTTTGCGTTTGGGCTATAATTTCCTTCTGCACCTGCCAGCTGACTGGTTTAGACGTGCTGTTGTAGGAAGGTATTGGCAGGTAGCACTTGTGTGAAGTAGAAGTGAGATGTGTATGTCTTCGGCCTCAATATATAGTATATAGGAAGGATGTGAAAGGAGAAACTCTGTTGAGATAATTTCTGTCAGCCGGTCAAATATTTTTAAACAGTAAACGCGTATCCAGTGCGAAACAATGATGAAAAACTTCTGGCTAGGATCTCCCGCCGTCAAGAGAATAATGTTTTCCTCAAAAACTATTAAAAGCAGTCTTACTAAGTATTCACTTAGTCCGAGAAAAAAAAACGCTTTCGTTTTTATGAATGTTTACCTAATCTTGCATTCTCTTTCGCTTTAACAATTATTTTCAATTTCTCAGAAAATTAAGTGATGCATGTGTTGGAAATTGCCCGAAAAAAAGAGATTTTCGTGAGTATGGTGTTATGTTGGGCGAGTGTGGTACTATATTGTCTGAATTATGAGTCAAAATAACAATTATAACTTTAAAATGCTGGCAATTATCGAAAAAAGGATAAAATAAGGTAACAGCTATAATTTTCCTGATCCCTAACTAACAATTAGGCTGACCTGTTATTCTCAAACTGATTCTAAATAAGATTTGTGCTGAAAATTTTGAAGTAAAAACTCCACCTAATGCAAACATTAATTAGTTTCCGCTCACCAGCGTCTTTTTACAAAGAATCATAATAAAGAAAACTTGCCTCCCGTTAAAACAGCGTTATTGTTAGAAAACACTTTTAATAGAGTAACTAATTAACACTTTTCTCTCCTTTGTATCTTTGAGATCATCATTGAAACGGTATTTTAAAAGTTAAACAATTAACAGAATCTTTTTTATCGTGAAAAAAATATTGAGTCAAATAGAACTGAATACTCACTGAAGTACCAGCCTTATCTATTGTTTTGACAATCTTATGACGCTAATTTGTAAATTTTGCAGCACAAATTCGTTTTTTCCCTTGGGTGGTATTCGCTCGCATGAAATATTTATTTGTTCAATTCTTCCCTTTAATTTAACGCTTCAATCAATAGGATAACCTATTAATTAGCACAGCGCGAATTCCACTGAAAAGTTAGAAAACAGAGGCTATGCTACAGTCGGTTCTTGTCCTATACGGAGTAAACTCAGCGGCGATTTCTACATCGGAAGAAAACAGGGGTGTGTGAACGCCTCTATAAAACACAAAATGGCATCCAAGACTGCCGTCTTCTTTCTTTTGCTGGCATTTTGGGGAATTTTGGACATCAAAGCCGCGTCTGTTACCAGTTATAAGAAAGATACGTGGGTTGATCGTCTTGCAGGTTTAGTGTCTTCCTATATTTTTCAAATTCTGTCACTTTACTATCATGGATGGTGCACACGAATTTCGCTCACTTTAAAATCCAGTTTTCACGTCTTACTATAACAAATGATTCGTATAGACAAATCCGCAATCCATATTCTAAAAATTATTTCATTTTTCAACCGCCCAGACCCACAACTACAAAAGAATCGTTCATATTTTCATCAGTTTCTGTAAGAACAGGCACGGCACAACCTAGAATGAAATACATGTACTTCACAAATGTTAATAATATGCCAAACGCGGTCAAACCATCCTTTCTAACGTACAAGTTTAATATTCACTTTCCCAGCTGATTCCAATTCAGAAAATTCCTTACATATAAATCATAACATAAAGAGTTTCAAAAGTTGTTTAAGCTTATATCATATTACCCGGAGAATGAATGGCATTTTTGTCGCTGATTACTCGACACTAACACAAAAAGGTGTTAAAAATATTCCATTCCACAGATACTGTAAAACTATATTAAACATTCCTCGCTGAAGATAGGCGTTGGAACTTAATTTTTAACTACAGATGGATCCCAGATGACAATTGTTAAAGTCATTCCTGTTTAGTTACTTTTCATGTGACTCTTTCATCAAAATTCACTTTCAGATGAAAAATCTTCAAATTGTTCTATTTTTTTTTAAAGTTATGCAACATACGAGGAAAAATACGCCGCGTTTTTCTTTAGACGCGTCCTAAATAAGACGCAAACTATGCCGTATAAACGGCACATTTTTGAGACGCGACTTAGCAAAGACGCGTATCATCGAAGAACAGGTGTTGGGGGCTGTTCTTACGCAAGACGCGTCTTAGCTAAATTTGAAACGGAATCTGCCAATTATACACGGGATAGTTTGAGTCTTGTTTAGGACGCGTCATTTGTAAGACGCGTCTTATTTTTCCTCGTTTAAACGGACCCAATGGATCCGCATGAAAAATCCCACGAAAGTTTGAACGGAGCGGTAGGCGGGAATCAAACTTTTGTGCTTGCTTTGTTTCCTTTGATATTTGTTTTGTTGCTTGTTGTTTTGTCTATTTTAAGGTTTTCTGTTTTTGCTCTTCGCTGTTTTAATCGACATGAATGGATTATTAATCTAGAGAAACTATGGTCATCACTGCCAAATAGAGTTAAAGGCACCGAGTGCTTAAAAAATCTAAACATCGGCTTTTGAGCTCATATATCATTCATATCTCTCCCGGCCTGGGCTTACAAAAAGTTGCAGAGCCGAAATTGAAAATTGGCTGCCCATGAAAGCAATCAACGCGTAGGCAAGAATTTAGATTGATCAAGAAAAATTGGACTAAGTGACCCCCATTCGCTGTTTTTCACAGGTAATCTGCAATCAAAGAGTACGAACTAAGTACGTTTCTGGTACGTCACAAATTAAAATCAACTGTCCAAAGTGTCTACAAAGAAAATAATGAATCGTATGCTCTACGGGATTATGAAATTTTATTGGGATGATAATTGGCAATTAGACAGTAACTAGCTTCAGATTTGGTTTTTGACTTAAAAAACTGGTGTCAACGACGAAGCCAACGTTAAGCTATGTTCACACTATCACCGATAACCTGTGATCAGGCGTTCGTTTTTCGGGACAGCGCAAACAAAAAGGGAAGAAGGACCACCTGATAGCTTTTCGTGCCTTCACCACTAGAGGCTGTCTTGTATACTGTGAACACCGAGCATTCGATATGTGACCCGACACTTCAGAGATCGACACGATGTAGCTTCGCTCAGTTACAGAAATCGGCGCGATGCAGCTTCGCTCAGTTACAGAAATCGCGCCGAAATCACTTAAGTTCTTATGTATAAACCCAGTATGGTTTTCTTGCCTGCACAAAAGCTACCTGGCACTGTGAACACAGTCTTGGACAATTCACTCGCTTTCTTCAGGCAGACAATTTGCTTGATAAGTCAGAACAAAATTGTCATGACCATTTCGCTTTTCGAAACAATAACTCCTTATTAAAAGCCGCGGTCGTCAACGGAGGATCGGCTTGCTCCTTCAATTCAGAAAATCATACTCTTAAAGCCAATCTTTCCGTCTATTGTTTTGTTTTGTTTTTTGTTGTTGTTTTTTCAGACTCAGACGGGAGTAAGCGAACCGCAAATGAGGACAGGGAAGAATCAGATTATAACGCTGAAGGTATCTTGGCTTTAGAGACATATAGATACTCTAATCGTTTAAGTGGTGCTTGACAATATTTAAGCAGGAGGGTGTCAGCAGTGAAGGATGGAAGTGAAACATTCCCTCTTTAATAGCATTACTCGACGAACTTGCAACTATTTTTCTCTTCCTATATGCTGTTGCTTTATAAACAAAGAAAGAGAAGAAAAATCCACATCACTTTGTTATTCATTCGTAAATAAGAAGCCTAACTCGCGCACAAGTGATTTTCTCCTAGCCCGCCAAACTTTTCCCATAACTCCCTGGATGAGCCTTGAGCCCGCTCTCCGGCTAGAAATGAGCGCCGCCCCAGAATAAGAATTGCTCCTACAAGTTGAAAAATAAAAGCACCGCGGCGCTCTTTAACGGTACCAGAGCAAAAACTATTTAGTGCTTTTTACGATCGGGTCATAAACTCCCACGGATATAAGCAAACCCCTCCGTTAATAAGCCCCCCTAAAACCTCTGACGAAAGCCCAGGGCTTTATAAGCAGCAGTCAGTCACGGTATAAGATTTTATGCACTTATAGTTGCGTCGGTGTTCGTTATCATTTGACAAGACTCTAAGGGGTCGGTTATTTAAACGAAGATCGGGTTTTAGGAAATATTTGGACCTCGAGATCTCTTCCTTAGTGGGTTATTTTAAGGAAACAAATGCTTTTCCAGTTTACACTACATGCTTTGATAAAACTGTTCACGCTAAATAGTGTTTACATAAAAGTGTTTGGCAAACTGAAAATCGATTAGGACGTGTTAAACACTCGCTAAACTGCTTTTGAGTAACTAGCCCTAGATCTTTTGCGTGCTTTTGGAATTAGATCGTTTGTGAGAACCACGGGCTTGACAGAGCTGACATTTCTTTTCTTACGAAAGAAAATGTTAGCCTGGTTTCAATAAAACAATTCTGACAATTGTGTTTATTTAAATGTCCAGCAGGTGATGTTGCTTTCGGTGTCGACGGGGTATCTGATTACTATGACAATGCTCTAGAGAACAGGGAAGGTAAATGAACTTTCTTATGCATTTGTTCATTATATATCTCATTGAAACTAAATTTAAACTCGTGACGATCTTCAATACGCTATAATAAGCTCATAATTACTTTATTTTTGATCTAGAGAAGTGTGCTGTACGACGACTATTTTGATTTATCCTCTTTTTTTCACAATTGTGTTGGGATTATTCTTGTCGTAAGGATTTTATAAAAGTTTTATTTGTTCTTCTTGTGTCGTTATTTCTTGTCACCATCTAACATGCGACTATAAAACTCCATTTGAGAGATACCACGAGAAGTCACACGCAAGCAGAAACTGGCGCGAGGGAACTCGAAACGGAGAGCTTGCTGAAGCTACTCATTACCTGTACAAGTCAATGTCAACAAATACGATAAAAGAACACATTGCTCCACCCAAAAAAGTGCAGATGGTCGGTCTGTGCTGTAACCCTTTTTCCTCATTTTAGCCTGTTTTAGGCATTCAAGTAGCGGGGACGGCTCAAAGCAGTGAGCAAAAAAAATAAACATCCTCTCTTCCTCTTTACATGTATTTTTTCCCCGCTCGGTGACTTCGCGAAGCACTCTACTATCTGAACTCCTTGAACAGGCTATTCCAATTTTGATGTTTCTTCAAAATAGCATCAACATTAGCAGTATTTGAAAAAGCTGAGTTGTTATATTAATGCAGGATAATTAATTGTTTTTCTGCTTTTTTGTTTGATATTTCCAGTGAGATGCTTGGACCGCTTTCCTCAATTATGTAAAAGTCTGAGGTCCAAGTGTCTGGGTCTAAAATCAAAGTTGCTACGTTACGAAAAGAAATTCTGCGATAGAAAATGCTCCCGTAAATGTAACTGAAGTAAGTGGTGATTGACAGAAACTCAACGCTTGTATTATAGTCTGTATGTTTTTGACCCCTTTTTGAGAGAGAAAATCTCATTTTTAAAAAATTGAGGGAAAATACATTAATTTATTCTATTAAATGGTCTTGTTTTCCGGCTGGAAATTTTCAAACGGAAATTTATTTCCAAATACATGTTCACTGAGCATTCAAAGTCCATCCAGTCCTGGCCAAAAATTGTTAAACTACATCAGTTTGGCCTCCCTTGGGTTTGGCACCCTGGAGTGGCGTCATTTCGTCAAGAAATTGGCGAGGCACTTTTTCCAATCATAATAGAGGCTCCACCAGCTGCATTTGTTGTGATGGTCCCTACAAAAGCTTGTCAAGTAACTGTTTTTGTTTCGAAGCAGACTGATCTGCAAATACGGCAAAGGTATTCACAGCTGCTAGCGAGGGGGCTTAATCATGTACACTTTGATAAGCTCCATTATATTGTACGTATGTACACACCAGTGCATGTTTGACAACATCGCCGGCGGCTCTTACACTAAATAGAATTTTGACAACTTGATGAAGACGGCCTTTACTAGGTGTGAAGATATATCAAAAGAGAGATTTTATCACTGAACGACGACGGCGACGGCAACGAGAACGTCAAAAAGAACAATAGGTTTGTTAAGCAAAACTACAACTTTGTACGTGCATCATACTTTTTTGTACATTTCCTTACCGTCACTGCACGACTACGACGTGAAATGCCTAATTTCACGGTTTATGGAGGACGTTAACAAGCGATGACTAATTTTTCTTTCTCTTTCTAAACGTAAGTGCGGTCCAGAAAAAATCAACTCCAGGGTCCGAAGTTCGCCCACATTATTTTGACATTTTCAGCGAATTGGACTAAACGCGACAGTGTTTGAAAAAACGCGAATTCATTTTAAAAGTGAAGTTCTCGCTTCAGTTGCCGTCAACGATGCCAAAGCTCCCTAAAAGCTGAGTAAATACGGTCGTACTGAGCTTATTTGTAGTGGGACGTCAAAGAATCAACGGTGTAAATATTAACCTGGAAAATAAGGATTAAACTTTGATGGCTACCAATCTGCTAGGCTTGCTTTTAACAGTATAGTGACTCATAAAGAGATATCATTAAATCGTTGATAAATGTTGTCTGTTGTTTCTTTATTCTCTTGTGTTTGTTGCAGACCTTACTCCAGGAACAGTTCTGAAAGGATCTTCTCGATAAAATTCCTCCAAGGACTTTTAGACGACGACTTATTATGGCTGAGGGTTTTTCAGAGAGAGAAATGTTTCCAGGGAATTTTTTTGCTCAATTTTGTTTAGGACTTGGTCTTGCCTTTACATTAAAACGGGTGGAAAACTAACTGGCATATTATTTGTATTAAATGTTATCGTTAAAGACAAAAATTAAACGAAAAAAAAAAACATCAGACTTGAAGACAGTTTTTTTCTCACATGGGGCACGAAATTGTGACTCATCCTTTGGGATGGGGATAATTCCTTGAGGACTCTTGGGTAATCTTACTCTATTAAACGGTCCCGTCAGTAATGGGAATAAACTGAAAGAAAAGACCAGGATCAACAAATACATACCGGAAACTTTTACAAACAATCTCAAAGCCTTCATTTCAGCCTACATCTGAGTCTTTCTCTGGAAAGAAGATCGATTTTGAAATTAAATGTGAAGAATGAAATCTTGAGAACTGGATTAGCAAGTTCTCAAGACAAGCATATACAGGCCATGTAACAATGTTCGTTTCGAAAACACCTACTCAGCATAATAGACCCTTCCACGTTTTTTTCAACTTTTGACACAGACCAGTGACGTCACTCGAAAGAGCACCCTGTAATTAGTAAAACTGCAAAGACTCCAGATTTAAAGTGATACGTCTTAAGTGAGCGAAGAGTTGTGACAATTTACAGACGTTTGTATAGTGGGAGGCCTCATGGTCTGTTGACTCAGAGCCCATTAAGGCTCGAGGAATAATTGTTAAATACACGTGCACGAACACGGATTGTTTGCTAATGATTATTAAGTCAACACATAACTTTAAAGTGAAAGTAAAGTGAAGGTTTTATTCTCTGTTCCTTTTATCATTAAAACCAATACTAAACTGTTAAGACTGCTCACAGCTGTAGTCGAATTATGACTATAAAATTTATATAAGTTCTGTAATGCTATAAGATTGTTGTAATACAGTAAATATAAAATTAATCTTTGTAGTAATTTACCTCTAAAATATATGCACTACCGGAATTTGATTAAGAAATATACTTGTAACTGAATACTAAATACCAACTATAAAATTTCTGCCTTTTCTACGAGATATACACAAATTTGTAAAAAAGAAAAATACGTATACTTGAACAAAAATATTTCGTACAAAAAAAATTATAACAAAAACTAAAACATTCATCTCACGACAACAAAGGCTTTGTTTTGGCATTAGCAATAATTAGTCAAGAGCTTTTTTGTAGACTTTACACTGCTTACGCTAAATTAGAGAGACCTTATATTCTCACTACTCACTAAACTAGGACTACAATATCTCAGCGATTATGTAGCCGTCCTAAGATACGTTTGCACCCAATAAGGAATTAGGAACAGGTAGTTAGACAATGAAGAGGAGCTTACAGCTTATTGGCGGACGCTGGCACGACGTCATCAAGCTCAAAGCCAATCGTGACCACTGGAATGCTTCACGGTTGTCTCTTGCTTTGCAAGACGTGAGAGGTTCGGAGCTAGCATGCAGGCTATCAAGAGGAGAGTCAGAAAATGGGCTATAGCTTCCTCAACATTCAGGACCTCACTGATAACCGCCCTTTAATAAAGGCTGTAGAATGCTTTCCTCAGTTTAAACTTGTTTACGTTAATCTCTGCAATTGCAATATGACTGTATTGTATGGCATTAAAGTAGCTCTTTCCTCGTTATCCGAGCTTCAATTAGCATAGTAACATTAAGTTTGCAGGAACGTTTTCTAAGTAACATTGCTTTTTCTAACTCTGGCAATATTTGCGCCACTTTTGGAACTACTGCTGTAGGCAATATTCCTGCTTTGCTTGAACATTTTATTTCGGTGTTTTTAGCTTTAAGAAAAATATATTCCATCCTGCTTCAAAATATACAACTCTGCGAACACCAAAATATTGCAATGAAGCAACTAAGCTCTAGAATCGGTGAACTGAGTTCTTCTTCTTACTACTCTTCCACTAAGAGTACACGTCCCTTTACATTCCTCTGAATGAATCACCAAGGCTCACTGGCTCCTTGTATTGCGTGTAAAATAACGCGTTCTGCTTGTAAAATGTCACAATCTCTGTTAGACCATCAAACGCATGTTTACCAATGACGTAACGACCACTTGGAGTTAATTCAATGGGAAAATGACGAATTCTGGAAAAAATAAACAAACAAACATTTTCTAAGAGAATTGAAAAATTTCATCGGGTAAATGCGAAGAAAGTAAGCGCGTGTTCTTCAAATGAATATGAATCCACCCAAATAAATTAATTTGAAAAGAAAACTAATTAAATTAACAAACTAAAAGCCGGAGTTGATAGATAACTTTTCAATAAGGCCTAGATAGTCGCCTTACCATATTGGCCAGAATAAATCAACTACACAACTCCTTCTCACATTTAAAATGGATAACGTTTGAGTTGAGAATGATTGGGAACTAAATTTTTTTGCCATTTAAACGATCTAGAATTGTTTTGACATTAATTTTGACGAACAGCTCAGCGTAAAAAATGGCAAAATCAAGACATTACTTTACAATTATACTATGAGCCCCTAAGAAAATTGAACTTATATTATAGCGGTCAAAAGCAACACAGAATTACCTTCCACCATACTTGACAGATAGGACAAAAGACGCAAACTGAAAAAGTGAAAGACAGCAGCTTGTTAGAGTGAGCTGAAACATTATACAAGCCAGAATACTTTTCTAATAATAACAACGGGTTTCAAATTTGTTTACAATGCCTTGTGTTTGGGGAAAAGAACTTACGCTATTTTCCAAACTACGGTAAAAATAACAAACTTGTATTGACTTGTTCGATAGTGTTGTCCGCGCTTAATTGGTGTTAGGTTTACTAGCATCAGGCTCCTGGTATTACTAGTTTACTTTTGATTGGTTCAAAGTTTTTTCTGTGTCCATTTGGATTAGCTAGAGAGATTAGTTTACTTAACGGTGGAGTTTTGAGTCAGTCAACCACTCTATAAATACTTTTTAGAATTCAAATACAATAGCTAAAGTATAAAGACGTAATTATAAACGAGTGCATTCATAAACAGATAAATTACACCCAGCTGCGAGCAGAGTCTCTTCAAAGAGGAGGAGAATCATCGCTGGCGCAGAATGCCTATTGTTCTCGGGACATTTTAGTTACAGTTGAGCTAGAAACAGGTCTGTAATATTACAGATGAAGCGTGAACTGGATCGCTCTCATTGGTCGAAGTCTGGCGGCGCTGTCTTTCCTCTCTGTAGGGAATACCGAAACAAAGGCCATGCGAGCTCATAGGTTTATGCTTTTGAAATGGCTTGTGCAACGCGTGTTTACAAGCGTTAACACACAAACATAGAAATCGTTAAAGGCCAGAATACGCTTCAACTACAAGACGAATCGCTTCAGCAAGCCCCAGCTTCTGGACTAGGCATGGGTTTGAAATTATATCCTACCAACATGCAGCGCATGCTCAATAAAGATCTTCTCGATTCAAGCACGGCCTATCTGCGCCAAAATTGAGCAAGCGAAAGAATAGCTGTGCTGGCAGGGTAAGAGAACTTATGCCGTGTCTCTTGCGTTCCAACCAGCAGAATTATTTTCTGGAACCAAAAATGATTTGCATATTTACCTTCTGTGTGCTCTCCCTTATCAAGTAATCCAGCTCTTTGGCACTCTGTAAGAATAAGCAAAAAATATCTCGTTTATGTCGACAGCAGAAACCCAATTTTGTCACTCAATCGTCGAGGGAAACGTAAACTGACCAACTCATCGAGGATTCATTGTGTTTTACAGCGCCAGGCCGGAGAGGAAAAAAATATCCGAATGGCTGAACAATGAATTTTTGTTTAACACGCATACGTACTACGTAACTCAGTGTTCTCCATACATTTCTCATTACACTAATGTGAACAGATTGTTATTAGGGCTTGGAAAGTAAAAAAGGCACATCTCTTTCGATCCATTTTGGCCGTGTGAACTGTTGTTACTTAATGAGGAGAAAATGGGTCAAAAACGGAAAGAATAATGGAAATCAAAGTTTTGGCTGAAAAGTTTAAAGTTGCGGCTCTTTTCATTTCGCATTTATTCTCACTGGGAGCCGTCACGCGCAAGCGCTCCCTGTGCCCTTGGGACCCGTGCATTTAAATTCCGGCGCATCTGTGGACCCGCGGGGGAACTTGTTGTGCATATATCTGTTTTCATGCTGTTTATTGCTCTTTTGGTTAAAACGGACACCAGACACCTAGTTTGTCGCCCCACCCACCTCCCCGCAGCGATGGCACACTCTGGCGCCTTAGCTCCCGCTCCTTCCCGCCTCCGGGTTCGCCTCTTCCATAACTCATCTCTACCTTGGAGCGTTTGCGAGTGGGAGCTCCCGGTGAGTATCTATTACTACTTCGTAAACATCTAAACATAAATCATGCACAGATAAGTGTGTTAAGATTAAACACCAGTTCTCCATCGTACCGCTGGGGATTATAGAAATAAAAGCTCCATCATCTTACCCTCAACATAAGCTCTTCGCACTTTTGACGCGACATTTTACCATAATACCACAATTCATCTCCTGCAAAAATAAAAGTACAAACAATTCACAACTGTCAGTTAGAAAAAGAGTTTAAAAAATACAAACAAATACTACTGAAGGTCAAAATATTCGTGCGCCTTCCTGGGCCTAGAACCAGATAGACATTTGTACATTATGCTTTTGTTTCCTCCGACTAAAATGCTCCCCGTAATGCTCCATATTTCCTACTGAAAGGCTCGGTCTCGCCCAAAAGAAGTAAACTAAAATGGTCGGGTAATTATGCCTATCATACAGAGGCTTTTTTTTATTAATCAGTCTAAACTTTTTGACAAAATTTTAACTCCAACAAAAACGAATTGGTGGTACAACAATAGCCTATACAGGTTAATAGTTTTAATACAGCACAACCTAAAAAAAAATTACCTCCTTTTTTAATGAAAAAATATATCCCCTATAACGAGTTGAAACCCTTGCCCTTCTCCTCCCGCGCACCCCACATATATAATGATCAGTCCCAAAAGAACAGTGTTGGCATAATCACTGATTGAATTACTTAAGTCCATCGTTCTCATGCGATTTTTGAAAATGTTCGGAGTTTCTGCTCTCCTTGTACATGTATCTTCAGTCAGCTTTGCTCCCAACGTAGGCCCTGGATAATTAACTTATGCCGTGTTTACAATGTGTTAAACGGTTAAACCAGGGTATGGTGAAACTTGTAAAGCATAACTGGCACTTTGGTAACTAAACATGTTAGCTATGTAAGTAGGAGAAAACAGACTGGACATAAAACAACAAAAACGTGGGCAATAAGAAACAGCTTACCAAAAGAACTATGTCTTGACCTGTCAGTTTCAATGTTGTCAGCGGCATCTTCCTGGTCATCCTGGATAAGTCAAGTGTTGAAATATGTATATTTATCTTTAAAGGCTGGTTTTCACTAGCAACAGAGTAGCAGACTAGCAGTCGCAGTCGTAATCAGAAGCGTAGAACTTTACGATCTAGTGAAAACAGCGTTGTGATTCCGCTTACGACACCGCCGTATATGATCAAGTGAAAACTGGGTCGTCGAAGTTGCAAGCAGAAGCGGAAGAACTAAACAAATCACAAAGCGTGGGAACGTGCCTTGTGATTGGTTTATCCTTCCGCTTCTGCTTTCGACTCCGACAATCTGGTCACTAGATCATAAGTGGAACGAAGCGACGGAGTCATAAGCGGAGTCGAAAGAAAATGGAAACGGTCTGATTCTTCTGTGTCCTACTCCGTTGCGCTTATTACGACTCCGACTTTTGATTTTCACAATGTCATAAGCGCTCTAACGACTCCGCTTACGATTCCGACTCTGACTCCAACTCCGTCGCTAGTGAAAACCAGCCTTAATCATTCCCTTTGCAGGGTGTTTAAAGACAAAGGGGAGTGACATTGTATTCAAAACTGAACCTCGCACTGAAACTAAAATGTATAACTAAAGAAGGAATCGCAAAATATTTCAAAAAGAGCGCTTTTATAAGATTATATTAGGCGTTAATTTCAGGGATGATAGATTTTGCTCATTTAAATGATTACATCTTGCTGACAAACTTTAAATTGCAAAATCTGCGCGATACATGACACATCAGAGGTTTTGACCCATCATTTATTAATAAAATCAGAGTGATGTCTTCTATTCTTTCGGCAAACTTGGAAAACAAAATCACGATTTCCCAGTTTCGTACAACTGTGGCTTAAAGCATCGCTGTAAAGCGCGATCTACCAAATAAAAAAAACAACCCTCCTAAACTTCCATCATTTCACAGTGTCTCTGTAAAATTTTATCTAAATCGCCTCTAAAACAGCCGAGATATAGGCGTTTGAAAAGTTATAGCACAAGCAAAATTTTGCCTTATGAATTTATTCATAGAGAGGTGTCCCCTGCAGCCTTAATCTACGCCCTAAAAAAATGGTCAACCTCGTCTCCAGGGTCTTCTCCTACTCGGCCCCCGAGTTGGAGAAGAACCTCGGAACGAGGTGAACGTGGTTGAAAAATGGTCTTACCTGCAGCATATCCCAGAATTCACCTGGTGTCCATCCAACCACACCCTCCACACACATTTTCCACCAGCCTAAGGATTGAACTTCCAGTAATTGCCCCAATTCTCCTTTACGTATACAAATGCACTTGCTACTGTTTGTTGTAAAGTCTTCTTTTGCAAAGTAGTGTGCGTTAACCTTGCCTAAAACATACAGGAAAAAAACATAGAAGATTTTAGATTCTGGACTGCACAGGTTCACCCTGACCACGAGATACACGCAAAAGTAAAAGAGGGCTAGACAATAAAAAAAATTATTGTTTCTTGCTCACTTCCTGGTTAAACCGTGTAAGTGATTTATTTACACTGAAAAAATTTCGTCGAACACAAAACAAGATTAGAGCAATTCGGGTAGTTCAGAGATATTTTGGTTTAGCAAAAGAACAAAGCGCGGCGAACGAAATGAGATCTAAAGTAATGAATATTTACTTTTCAAATGATGGGTCGCTGCAACAAAGCCCTTTCACAGAGTTCTTTTTAGGGGTTTTGAAAACGAGTTCAGTAGGTGTAGTTCTCAAAATGTTTAGTTGTCCGTCATCATTGACCATGAGTCTCCACGGGGGGAATAGACCATTTTACAGTTATGAGTTTAGTACCTTAGCCTCTAAATGAACGCGAGGCTGAGGTTGACTTGTTTTAATACAAACCTGAAAGTCATGCTAAAAATACTAGTTAGTATTAGAATAACACGGATTAACATAATAAAGTAAGAACGTTTATATCAAAACAAGGCCAACTCTAGCCTCGTTTGCACCCGTAACTGTAAAATGGACTATAGACCTTTGTCAAACGGCGGCCATTTTGTCTCAGGAGATTAAACAAGCCTTATTTATGCATGGCTAGCCTCGTAGAGAGAACGAGGCTAGCCGTGCATAAACAAAGCTTTTAAAATCTCCTGAGACAAAATGGTTGCTGCGTGACAAAGGTCTATTGGGCTGCAAAGTTGTTAGTCAGGTTGTCAATACAAAAAAAATCAAAACAGGAAAACCCTTATTTTCCGCTAAAATTTCCGTGAAAGGGTTACAGCCTTGTGTTGTGGTTTTTTGGAACGCTAAAAAATGAATGACGTCAAAGATTTCAGCCGCAAAATTTTCCGTGTTTTTACTGTTTACAGTTATGAGCTGTGAAAAGGAAGTGCAAAGGTTGCATGCTTATTAGACTTTCAAAACAGTCCTTCTTCCGCTTCGAGGCCTAAAAGCTCGCTCCGCTCGCCAAGAAACTTGGGAGGTCGACTTGTAGCAAGTCTACATACTTATCCGCGCATGTTGTTAGCCAGCTATATATATTTTCCCGCGTTCTGGTGAGGGACTACTGCAGGTCGCCAAATAACTTTTCCTTTAGAAAGGAAATATGTCCGACTAGGTAACCGTCTTAGTCGGACAAACCAGAAAAGGTCTCGGACATACCTTATGCTGACTTTTAATCTCTTAAAATTACTATGCAAATCTTCAGCTACCTCTGCCACTGCGAATAAGCTCGGTCATCTTGTCCAACCGAAGGTAGAATTTCGTCGAACATGGGCAAATATTGATCGGACATAGTTCAATGACTGATTGATGTTATTTGCAGCTCCGTAATATTGTCATACTTACCAGGTTTGAATATATGATTAGGTGGGGCGCCAGGTAAAGGAGGGGCCGGCTCAGTAGGGGGATAGTCTACAGATGTTCTCCTTATTTCCACACCATTCCGAGGGGTGGGCACAGGTGGCTTGTTTGATGACAGTACAGGCATCGCTCTCTGAACTACTGAAGGAAAAGTAGCGACAGCTTCCTCCTCCTGAGAAGCATCATATATATCACCCAATGACTTGGATCTGGCGTTTAAAAAAAAGCGAGATAAAAAGTGATGTAATGTCCACCATCAAAGAAAGCACAACGTCACATGAGAACGAAAAGGACTGAACGTGACTACTTCCGGTGCTAAGTTTCTCGCTCTTACCCTGGTCGATTCTGTTTTTAAAGTGCCCATCACCTAAAATTTTATATTTTCTTATCTGAAACTATACCTTATTCAAATGACTTCTGCAAAAAATTTTGCGGTTTGAACAAAGCGCGATTTTTTAACCAATTTTTGAAGTCTACATTTTTGGGGTACACCCCCGCCGCTGATCATGCAAACTAGCAGGCTCACATATGACGTCATGTGACGTAAATTAAGGAACTCACAATACCTTGCCTTCACCAGCTGTACACAAAAAAGATCAATTACAAGTAAGGATTGAATCACTATGTCTTCGTAAGAAGAAAGTTTTTCTGAAAAAGAAAAACTTATCAGAACTCTTAATGTTTTCCTGTCGATAAGGTCACGTGTTCCTTAAAGTATGTCACAGTCCGAGAGAAGACTAAGACGAATGGTGAGCCAAAATGGCGGCAAATTTGAACGTTTTTAAAAAATTCTAAAAAAATCGTCTGTGGTTCAAATCGCAAAATTTTTTCGCAGAAGTTATTTTGATAAGGTGTAGTTTCAGATAAGAAAATAAAAAATTTTAGGTGATGGGCACTTTAAGGTGCGGTAAAACGAGCAAAAAAACGTGCAACTTGTTGAGTTTGTGACTTTGCTGCAAAACGAGTTCAATAGCGATGTTGCGCGTTTTACCATCCTACAAAAATAACTTTGCAACCTTAGTTGTTGCAAGACAGATTCCAACGTGGGTGGTAAAACGCGCAAAATCGCGATTCGACTCGTTTTGCAACCATAACAATAAACCTCAGCAAGTGAATTTTGCTTATCATACTCAAACTCGTTCTAGTATTGTAGTACAATCTAAAGGTCCGTAATGACATATAAGGTCTGAATATCTCAAAGGAAGAGTGTTCTGACCAATCAGGTAATATAACAAAATTTCATAAAGATACAGTCACGATAAAACACAAGAATGACCATTTTAACCAAGCCCTTGGCCTACCAAAAGACTCTCAGCTTAGCCGGGAGTCAAGAGCTTGCTGCAAGTGATTTCTTGACTCTGCTCGCAGGCCACCACGCATTTAATCACGCTATTTGCTATCTTTTTTAAAAGCTGACACTTTTCTTGCATCAACTGAATTCCAAGGATGGACGTGGATTGACATTTCAAAAAGTTCATTGGGCCAACTTCTCAGGGGCACCCAACGTCAATTTTCGGAAAAATATCTGTTCGAAAGACGTCTGAGATCTAGAATTTTCGGAACAAAAAGTTGTAAATGTTCTTGCTTGCCTGCCTCTCCTACCATTTTCGAACATCTAAAAAATGGTACAATTTCCTATTTTTAACGGACTTTTTACCCTAAAAAGGTCACCTACAATTTTCGGGAGCCTTTTTTCTGCCTGAAATTTTCGACTGGGTAAGTTTTGATCCCTATCATTTTCGGACCACTAGACTTTCAGCTAGGAAATCCGAACAGATGAAAAATTTTTAGGGGATGAAAATATGCCTATATCTACCGTTTAAATACTAAAATACGTTTAACAATGCTATGTTTAAGTAGTTTTGAACTATATTCTCGTTGGGTGCCCCTGACTTCTTCAAGTTTTAATGCTAGGGCTGCAAAAATCGCCAAACATTCTTATGAAGAGAACTCTGTGATGAAATTAATGGTTAACTACCGGATAAACACACTAGAGTGAGGACTTTAGCACAGAATTGGACTAAAACAGCAATATCATCCTGATCGACGTAGCTCCTTTAAGTAATTTTATCATCATAACTTGGTATCTATCTCGTAGGGTTTGTAATTTTGGATTTTAGTATGTAAAATTTTTCAAAATAATTTTATTATTGTAATATTGTATTGTCAGGAGCTCCCATTCAAAGCACTATTTTTATCTATTTAATTTTTAGATCTTACTTTGTTAACTGTCTGTCATGCGCATTTGAACATTTTTATGGAAAATTGCACACTATGAATGTATTATTATTATTACTATTATTTTTATTATTATCATTATTTAAGCACAATGGCACTTGAGATTTCTGGCTGTTTAATATAATCTAGCGATTGAAGCACGTTACGTTATCTACCTTTGGGAGAGCGGTATCCCTCCTTTCTTTTTTAGTATCGAGGACGGCACCCATCCTCTTCTCCTAGTTTGGTCTAATGTGCACACGAACGCCCACGCACCATCCTCGGTAAGAAGCCGCACGATCTCGCCCGTGGTCAACGGAAGATCCTCGGGGCGCTCAGCAGTTGGAGAGTAATTTGTTATTGATACGTAATGTTCTCCTGGCTGGAAGAAAAACACGAAGAGTCAATTGGATTGGATGACTACCTGCCCTACTAGTGGTCTATTATCAATGCTGCGTTCTGATTGGTTAAGCTACTACTAGACTATATGTTATAGCCCACTAGTAGCGAAGAGCGCCTGATTTTTGGCGGCAAAAAGCGATTTACGTCTAGCTTTAACCAGCTAAAAGTTGTTTTGTCTCGATATTTTTGACCAACTAGTTGGATTTTACTAAAACAATTATTCCTCTCGCCCTCATGGCCTCTGAGTCAATAGCCCATTCGGCCTTCGGCCTCATGGGCTATTAGGGAGCTTTAGCATCGACGACGGCAACGGCAGCGAAAACGTCAGTTTTAAAATGAATTCCCGTTTTTTCAATCTTTGTCGCGTTTATTCCAATTTGCTGAAAATTGCAAGTGCAGGCGAATTTCTCTGGAGCTAATTTCTTGAGGACCGCACTCAAGTTTAGAGAGAGAAAAAGAGATTCGTCGTCCCTTGTTTACGTCCTCCATAAAACTTGCAATTAGGCATTTTCACGTCGTAGTCGTGCAAGGACGGTGAAGAAATGTACAAAAAAGCGTGATGCACGTGCAAAGTTGTTGTTTTGCGTAATAAACCTATTGCTTTTTTGACGTCCTGGTTGCCGTCGCCGACGTCGTTGCTAAAGCTCCCTAATAGGGAGCTTTAGCAACGACGAAGATTGACCCACAGCCCATTCGGGCTCGAGAAATGATTGTTAATTAGCCCTCTTAACACTAGGATAGCAACGAGAACGTCAAAAAAGCAATGGGTTGAATGGGCAAAACAACAACTCTGCACGTGCAGCACACTTTTTTGTACATTTCTCTGCCGTCACTGCACGACTACGACGTGAAAATGCGTAATTTCACGTTTTATGGAGGACGTGAACAAGGGACGGCAAAGTTTTTTTTCCCTTTCTGAACATGGATATAGTTCTCAGGAATTCAACTCCAGAAGAGTTCGCTTGCATTTGACAAAGCAAGCGAGTTGGAATAAGAGGGTGAAAAAACGCAAATTCACTTTTTAAGCGACGTTTTTGGAGAAAAACGATGGCCAAAGATGAAATATCGCGATCTTTTAACCAATTCTACTCATAAGTCCACAAGCTCCCCATGTAATCTCAACGAAGAATTTTTACATGTTTATTTTCGAATGAACATAAAATTTACTAGAATGAATACTTCTCTGGGAAAGTAAAAGGGAGTGCATACTTACAATGTGAGTTTCTGGCCTAAGCACGTTCTGGTATTTACGGCTACCGAGCTTTACCATCTCTCCATCTGGGGAGGTAAGTAGTTGAGCCCTTGGAGAGACCGCTGTGCTTTGCTGCCTGCGTTCTATTACCCTTGTGTAACCTGGATCGTCAGGATCCACATAAGAGTTTACTAGTACAGAGGGGGGTGGGGGTGGGAGCTCTGGAGAACCACTGCGCATCTACAAAACAAACAATATCTCTCCTTAGTCAATTAAGGAGAAAGTTCTAACTTTTAAAAGCTATTTAGCGGTACTTTACTGTGATAATGTTTATTATTATTATTATTATTATTATTATTATTATTATTATTATTATTTTATTTTATTTTTTTATCAACTTTTTGATGCTTTTTATAATTGTTATTAGTAGTCTTTAGATAGTCATTTTACAACAATTCTCTTTCGTAGACAAGAAGAATGTACATAGGGTATATATTTTAATATTTCATATTCTTGAATCTGTAAATAGTCTATTTTTTTTAAATCTATGAATAAAGTTTTGTTTTATTATTATTATTATTATTATTATTATTATTATTATTATCGGCGGCAGAATTATAACGCCGCGCAATGTAGGCAAAAACTCTCATTTTGCGTAACCCTCTAAAATTTGCATTTTTGACCATATTTGGGTGTAAGACTCCATATTTGGGTGGTGACGTCATGGTCTTGTATTTACAACTCATGGTCCGAAATTGGGTGATTCAGTGTGTAGCTGTTCGTTATCTGTTCAAGAGGACCTACCAGGTGAGCAAGCTTTAATACGATTTCTAGTTTGAAAGGGCAATTAGTGCCCTGGTTTGCTTTATAAATTGCGTTTAAAGGAGCAGCTGATCAAGCAATAGGGTTTTACGCTCAAATTTTTGTCAGAACCAGCTTGTTTTTCGCAGCTCGATTTACACTGAGGTAGCGTGTTCGCTTCTCGACTCAGAACCAGAGTTTTCAGTGTTCTCTTTTCCTTTGTGAATTGAGTTTTAAGCGGTAGGTGATCAAGGCATAGGGTTATATTCTCAAAACATTTATCAGAACCAGCGTGTTCTTCCCAAGTCAATTTACAGTGAGCCAGTCCTCACCTCCCGCCGTGAGGAATACAACGTATTTGCGGACCTTTTTTTAGAATTTATTTATGTCTTTCGAGAGATTTTGTCAACCAGCATGTTTTTTTGCTGCTCGATTTACATTGAGACAGCCCAAAACTCCCGTGGGGAATGCAACGAATTTACGAACCTTTTGTTGAGAAGACTATCATTATACCTTTCAAGAGACTCTTTGTCCTGTGACACTCGCTCATTAGATCTTTGTGTTTTATTCAAGTTTATATTTTTATACCTCTGATACATTCCGCCCCATTCTTGCGCTTTTCACACATTATACTTTACACCAATTTTTTCTGGTGACTGTATATTACCACGCGCAATATTTTTATCCCTGATGACGCTGTTGCTCGGAATTTAATTATTATTTTTAATTTCAGCAGTCAAAGACATCATTTAAACTATATTTTTCTTTCTAACGTTTGCAGTTCTGCTACAATGGAATTTTCCAAGAAACACAAGTGCTAAGTTGCTCATATTTACCAACAAAGCTTCAAGCCATGTTGTGATTGTTTAATAAAAGTGAAAGCCTTAAATGTGTCAAAGTTGTTGTTTTGAACTTGAGTGCCATCCTTTTCTTTTGCGGAATCCATTTTAAACCTCTAAAATTATGAAAAAAATGTCGCGAAGATCTGAATAGGCACATTCCACAAAAGATAAACGAATTCGCGTCGTTGGCACTTGCCGGAAGGTACCCCTAGTTATTATTATTATTATTACTGTATTATTCGCTGCACCCTGTCCGTATTATCAAGAACTTGGGTCGATGGTCTTCCTCCTAGCCGTTATACAAACGTTTGACTTTCTGGACGAATTGAAGACGCATGATCGCTTAAATGAAAAGCCTCGGCAAATTTTAGTAACATCTTTTATCGGTACCTTACAACGTGTATACAAGGAGAAAACATCCTCCCAAACAAGTCAACTTTAGCGATCTATCATTTATATCAGAAAAAAGTTGTCCGAGCCAACAGCGTTCGTGCATGCTCTGCACGTGATCTGATTGTCTAAAACAGCGGTCGCGCATGCTCTGATTGTCTCACCTACAACGAGTTGACCCGGATGGACAAACAAAATTGTTAATATGGAGAAAGGTTGGACTGACTAGGAGGGTGACCCTACCATGATAAAAAGGGTGAACTGGCTAGGCGGGTCAACTTTTCGCCAAGTTTTGTGAGGAAATGAAGGAAAAGTTGGCTCGCCCAGGGTAGCTCGGGTAGCTAGGCGGATGACCCTTCTACCATGGACAACGTTTCTCCATATAAAGGGGGCCTTTAAGTTTCCGCTAATTTTTCGGAGTGAAAAATTATTTTTATAACAGTGTACATACCGGTCTAGTGTCCGGTACTTCTTCACTCAAGCTGCGACCTCTTTGTCTTGCTCTGAAGAGAAGAAAGGTTGCAAGGTAGAAATGTTTGATTCTGTCAACTTATGAAACCTCTATTCAGTAAATGCTGTTTGGTTTTCGGGTAGCCTGAGAAAACACCGGCATTTCACGACGCTACCACTCAAATCGCGGGGTAAAATAGTAGACTTGCTAGAAGTCGACCTCACGAGTTTCTTAGCGAGCGGAGCGAGGTTTTTAGGGCGCGAGGCGGCGAGCGACGAAGTCGCGAAATCGGGCGAGGGACTTTTTTGAAAGTCTAGAAAACCAGTGGTTGTGTCTAGTTTTTTGGACCATGTTTATTCAACGTTATCCACTGGATAATACAATGAACACTTGTTATCAAAATACAAAAAGTTGGAAATTCTCGCAAACGACTACCAAGCTCTGCCAAGAATTTTCTTTCAAAAATTAGATGCGTACTTATTTTCAATGATAAACGAGATTCACGCCTGGCATGTCCAGTACTTTCTCTACAATTAATTCCATGACCGTAAGTCTTCACCTAATTAATTATATTGTGCAGACTTCCAGGAAGCATATAACGCAACTGGAATAGAAAGTATATCAACTGTGCGCCTCCTTATTCGTCCCATTATCTTCTACGAGGAACCTACGGACTTTTGGACGATCTTTTAGTGGCCGTCGTATCTTTCAGTTTCACGAATGTTTAGTAGTAGAACAATTAACTCACCTCAAGTGCTTTGGAATAACTGACGCATACTCAGGGCCGCTGTTACTGAAAAAGAAGTTGCATAGTTACATTGGAAAGTCTTTTAGGACCTGTTTACATGGAGGTGGGGGACCCCAGGTAGGTGAGGCAACCCCCTAAGGTGGGGGAACCCGCCTGTCCATATAATCTCTCATTTTGATTTGATCACGTTTACATGCGCGAGTAGGTGCGGGTGACCCCGCCACATGTAACCCGACCTACAGTACCTGGGGTCTCCCACCTCCTTGTAAACAGGCCCTAAGTTGTACTCAAGTTTCAAGCGTTTTCAACATTCTACGCCTCCTCAATTAGCACTTGCGGCTGAACGCATAAAATAACAAAACTTTATGAGGAAAAAAACTGTATAACTCTGTTCTGGGCATTAATGACAAGAGTGGCACGAGAAAAGAGGCGATCTGAAAAAAAAAATAAAGTTGAGGTGCTGGGAGGGAAGGTGGTGCTCAAAACACCCGAAACTTGGAAATAAAATTATAGGGTTAATTCAGATAAATTACAGTTGAAACAAAAACAAAAATCAGCTGGACATAATGTTGGTTTGTAGAACTAAGACAAGTAATCGACAGGCGGTCGAACAGTGCGAATTCACGTTAGCAAACTGTACATTGGAAAGCAACTGTGGGAAATCTCAGTATCGTTATTAAATACATGTTCTACTAAAAGAGCAATCATCACACAGAGTAATAGACTCGATTAATACCCAGACACTGTTCCTTACGCCTGCAAGAACTATGTTAAATTTCAAATATATGTACTGTGTTCAGTTCGTTAGGGGAATAAAAATAGTTGAGTTCATTGTTGAAAGCTAGAAAAGTTCTTATGTTTCACTCGGATTATATTCACACTGAGTGGCTCTGTCAAACCTATGTCCTTGGTTAAACTCGTCCCATTGTTCACAGAATAGCACCAACTTCACCACTTTATTGACATTACGGAGCTTAAGCAACAACGACGGCTACGGGCACTAAGCGACACTTAAAAAGGTGAATTCACGCTGCTTCAAACTTTACCGCGCAAATTCCATCTCGTTCAATTCGTCAAATGATGCCAACTTTTTTGCTGGAGTTGAATTCTAAAAGACTGTATCGACGTTCAAGAAAAGGAAACCAAAACCGTTCTCTTGTGTTCACGCTCTCCATAAAATGTGAAATTAGGCATTTTCACGTCGTAGTAGTGCAGTGACGGCAAAAAAATGTACAAAAAAGCATGATGCACGTGCAAAGTTGTTGTTTTTCGTATCAAAACCTACTGCTTTTTTGCCGTTCTCGTTGACGTCGCCGTCGTCGTTGCTTAAGCTCCCTAATGATAGTCTGCAACCGCAGTTCCAAAGATAAACATTTGAACGAACTTACTACTCCGCGATAATTGCTAGGCAGATTACTTATTCATTCCTTACTTGACATCTTGAAAGTTAAACTGATGATTTCTGTTCGCTATTGGCTGACTAGGTAGTACCTCCACGGTCGCATATTCCAAAGCATCTGTTTGCAAGGATCAAAGAATAGACTGATCATTAAGAACACTTTTTTCGTGAGGGTGGGAGGGAAGGGGAGGGGAAGGGTGGGGCGGGGGGGGGGGGGAGAAGAGAGGCGGATCATTCCTTGGCATCGTTTCTCAAATGTTCTGACAAAGGGCCACTTAAACATAGCCCCCCAAGGCTCTGTCCACATGTATCAGGATATTTTTGAAAACGTCTACACGTAGGGTATTTGAATCGTTTTCGCCCGTCCACATGAAAACGCTAAAAGCTAAAACGATGGAAATACGAAGGAAATACGATAGCATCCCTTACAGTGCATGCGTAATGCTAGTAATATATGATGTATGAATGATGATGTATGACATCATCGTATTCGAAAATCTCGGTTTTCGTCCGTCCACACGTAAACGACAGTCTGGCGTTTTCAAAAACCTCCACTCAGAGGACCGTTTTAGAAAACCTGCGTTTTTTGGTGTTCGAAAAGGCCGTTCATATGTAAAGGCTAAAACGGAGGGAAAAAACTCTCCGTTTTCAAAAACCCTGGATACGCGTGGAATGTGCCTAAAACTCCCTTAGGGGACTCTGCTCGTGCAACACACTTTTTCGTACAAAATGGTTCGGAAGGTGATTTTTATCATGTACGGTTACTGTAGCTTAAGGGGGCAGTCTGGTTGAAAGATCTGTTTTTCGTTTGTTTCCGCCCTTTATATTAAATATCTACCCAATATTTCATTCAATCAAAAAATGACTCAACTAAGTTGGAGCCCTCGGTTGGAGCATTTTTGGATGCTTTTTCGAGTGTTCTTAATGAATAAAAAGTACGGGAGGTGTTTAAAAGTTTGGAAAATTGGGGGTTGTTAAAAATTAAAATATGAAGTGAATAATTAGCAGACAAACGACCACAACAAAGTGCCTCTGATCCCATTAGTGGACTAACTGTCTGGTATATGTGTATACCTTTTCTACCTTAATTTATTTCCTTCTTAAATCAACATCATTTCCCTCCCCAAAAAACACCCAGACTGCCCCCCCTTCATGAATTAAGAACAAAATAAATTGATAACAAGATGGGTTAAACTCACAAGGGGTGGACTGTGAACGCATAACTCGTTGCCTTCTGTCATCGACAGGTTCGGTTAAATCCTTCTTTGTTTTACTTGAGTCTCTGAAAATAACGTTTAAATATTTAGAGATACGTGATCTCACGTAAGAAAACTAATTCACATAACGACCTGAAACATTACCTCAACCCTTCTCCGCCAGTCCGACCGACCTCCGGTCCAATAACTCGAACCCTCGCGAACTCGAACCTCGCGCTGACTCGAACCAAAATCGATTTCCCCTGGATCTCCGTCATACATTTACTGTAATTTTACCCTCGGTAACTCGAACCTTCGCCAACTCGAACCTCCCGCTAACTCGACGTAGTTTTTGTTTCCCCTCAGATCATTTCTATATAATTTTACCCTCGATAACTCGAACCATCTTTTGAGGCCTTAAAAGTCGGGAAAAAAACAGTCTACTGGCGTCCGAAACATTGAATTTTGTATTTCCCATTGACGTGTTGTACGCATATAGTTTACTATTGGAGGCTGGTGTTGTTTGTCACAAATCTAACGCGAAACAGCTTTACTTCACAAAACAGTAAAACGGATGCTCTATTTAAGCAAGGTTTTGTTATGTTACGTTCTGATTTATAAGCTCCCGATAACTAGAACTCCCGATAACTCGAACCTTTTTCGATTTCCCTTGAAGGTTCGAATTATCGGGAGTCGAATGTAGATTGCAGTGTATGAATCTCGGATATCATCAATGTTCTAGCCAAGAGTGTAGATCGTTGCTGTATCGTCAGCAAACAGATACAACTTTCCATTAGATATTGATTCAGCAAGATCATTAACAAATATTGAGAAAACCTTGAGGCACCACAAACTTGACCTGTTTACGATTTCTTTCGGGGTTTTCCCTTGTGGAGGGGGGCGTAAGGGGGGTACGAATACCGCAATACCGCACGTGGTAGGGCGAGAATACCGCAATACCGCATCAAAATTTAGCCAAATACCGAAACCGCAGTTACAAATGGGAAAAAGTTGATGTTGTCAATACTACAAATCCTCCTTTCAAATAGAAATAATACTTTTATGTCACTGTTTCCAAATCAAGGTGCGTCGATGTCAAGCGTACGATAAACATAAGATCATCGCACTCGTTTAGCTTTGTTTATTACATGTATACGTTTACGTAAATGATACAACAGGAGTTGTCTAGTATCACTTTATAACTTACTTCATATATTACTGACCTGGATCATAAACGGACGGAAAACAGTTGACTCTTATGAGGTTGTTTCAGATTCACAATTAACTCGGTTCTGTGTTGAGGGTTTCAAAACGACGACCCGGGCTGCCTTTTGGATTCGAAGGGCACACAGTACAGAAGTACACACTAGCCTGCGTAGCATAGCGGTTTTGGTTAGGCGCGCTAAACAATAAGTCGAAATAAGGCGGGCGCGGGCGAGGAGATTGGGGCGGGAGCTGCTTCGCTGCTCACAGTGGTGCTGCCGACAAAACCATGTAAAACTGCCATGCCCGGGGTGGGGGCGGGGGGGAGGGGGCACTTGGGTTAATATTTGGTTGGCATGTGCCGCTGGCCTCTCAGAGCCCCTACCCCATTACAGTCTATTCTGTGGCCAATTATAGACCCCATCTTAGTCATTTGAACAAATATTTAATTTTCGCGATCCCAACTTCGTCACTTTCTATTTTTATGAATTGACCTTGTTTTAGATTGAATGAAGAACACTTTACTTTTCATCTACAATACAAACATTCTGGTGCCTTTGCTAACCGTAAATATATGAAGAACTGTCTTACCCCCAAAAAAGCAGAAAATGTGCGACCCCATTCTAAAAAAACTCTCTGAAAATGCGACCCCATTATAGTAACTCCAGTCGTGAAAATGCGACCCCATCCAGCGCCACATCCTCATTAGCCTCTTATCAGGAAGTACCCCCACCACCAACCCCCCGGGCTGCTATGCTACGTAGGGTAAGCACACACGAATACTAGTACATTCTATATTCCTGCATGCACAACGAGAAGGACAAGCAGTAATTTTTAGACCACACCGTCTTTATAGATTATCTTTCGACACTACGCAATTTATAACGATCGCACTGACCTCACTATTTGCTGGAATATCTGACTGATCACTTAGTTGACCCTCTGGATCGCTCTCTGTTGTTTGGCGACTGGCACGAAAGTGGTGGTAAGATTGGTATAAAGGAGGTTAACCAAGCTGACTATTCCCACAAGGTCCGTGAAGTCATAAAGAATGCGACATGTTTACGAGGGTCTCAATGGGGTTAACCGATAGGCGTAAAACGGCCAAAAATTTAGCCGATAGCCGTAAAAATTGAAAAATTTTAACCGTTAGCCGTAATTAGGGTAAAAAAGAGTTAACCGTAAAAGAAAGTGTTCCCTAGATTTGCTACTTTTAAGGAAGGTACTAAACTCACTTATGGTTGCGTTTTTTATTTCCCGGCTAGTGTGACTCCATACGCACGTTAGGCGAAGCGCCTTTTAGGAGTTAACCTAGACCTAGGCTCCATTTCCGGCGCTCTCTCTGGGAACTAACTAGAGAAAGTGTGGCTTCTTGCTGGGGATTAATATTTGCAATTTTCCGGAGGTCGTGCCCTCGAAACACTAGTGAAACAACACGCAGAGATGTCACTGTTTGTAAAACTCGTTGCCGATAAGCAACATTTCCCTGTTTTTCTCTGACGCTACGGTAGACATTGCCATGCCTAGTCCCTGTACGGCGTCTACCCACGCAGTTTCGGTCAAGGCATTTCGGTGGTGAACTCGCTCGGACCACGTGACCCGAAACGCATTAGCCGTGCGGAATAATGCAGCCTACGGACAAGGCAACGGCAGACAATCGTTCCGTAGTCCTTCGCTATCATTAAAAACACTGGACACGGGAATTTTGTTATTGGCCTTTTTGACACTATAGCTAGAAATGGATCATCCGTCTGAGACTAGCCTGTGTCTAGTCGCGTCCTCTCCACAGACACCCCTTCTCCGATTTTTTCTGAGGGGAGGGGGCGGCTGTACACAGGCTATCTGGAACGGATAATCCCGTCTTCAAAAGTCAGGCAGATTGTTCATTCCAAATTAAAACTATTCCATTTTCAAATTAAGACATATTACCTATCTGACGCGAATCATCAAACGGATAACCCGTCTCACACGAATAATCCTTCTCTAGTGTGAAAACGGCCATTTCTGTTTTAATGAATGTCGCGCCCCGGCTTTGATTTGGCGTTCGTGTGTCTGCTTTTGCTTTTTCACGAAGATAATTTTTCAATTGGCTATTGACATTACTATGTGTAAAATAATATTAGAAGTGAAATAATTTATAAAAGAATAGCTTATTTCATCCCGAGATGATCCGAAGACCCTTATTCAAAAAAATACAGGTTGATTAATATTTAACTCTTTGAAACAAAAGAAGTTAATTTTTAACTTTTTCGTTAACCGTAACTGAAAAAAATTAACCGATAGCCGTAAAAGAGCCAAAATTTTAGCCGATAACCGTAAAAGCCACCACCCCATTGAGACCCTCGTTTACGTGTCATTGGATGAAAAAGTTAATGTCGTTAATCATATCAAGTATTAACTGAAATTAGAAGCCATACGATTTGTCTGCACTGTTTGCGCAATACAATCCCCGGATGTGCACACAGGTCACGCAGGCTAGCCAGGGAGACCTTTTAGGATTTGTATCCTCTTGTCATGAAAAAGAAGCAGATCACCGCAACACAACGATTTTTTCACCGACTACCGCGGCGTAAAATTTAAATTTACCGCAAACCGCTTGGACTCTGAAAACCGCAATACCGTACTTTGAAATAAAAATTACCGCAACACCGCACCAAAAATGACCCAATACCGCAATACCGCAAACCCTTACGCCCCCCTCCTTGTGGTGTAGCAGTTCTGACAGTGATGCATTAAATAAAAGGAGAACAGTGATTTCACAGGATTGTCGGCAGGCTTTTGTTCAGTACAGGTACCCATAGTTTTCTAAATCCATCCTTAAAGGCCCCTTCCCCCAAATTGTTTTCACTTGGGTGATTTATCAAAGTGGCTCCCTTAATAAAAAAAAGGCACATTAAACTATGACGAACTTTTTGTTATAGCTTTTTCGGTTTTACGCGATGGGTACGAAACGTTGAGAAGAACTACAACTATCATTAGCAAAGATAAACAAAGACGCCTCTATATGGCGAACACCTGACTGTCTCTTTTGTGTACGTATCAAGAAAGATTGCTTTTGATTATTTTTCTTGTCGTCTCTCTCCCTCTCTTGTGATTCTAAAGTGGAGAGTTTATTTGCAAGTTATGTTAGCCTAGGAACGACATTCCATGATGTCGTCTTTAGTCCCTGGGTTGAGTTTCTGCTCTGTGAAGTTACCATCAGAAGCGGTAGTCACCGACAAAAACAATAAAATAAGTATAGTTAATTCCGAACCTTCTTGGAGGAGGAGACCGAATACTTGCGTATATTCCATGGCTGATACTGGAATACGAAGAACCCTTAAAAGAGAAAAGTCATGAGATGCTATTAGAAAGAGTCAGTTGGGTAGAAACCTAAAATCGTGCACAAAACCAATGAGCCAACTACGACTGATCTGGGTCTTTTACACCAAATCAGCCAAACTATCCTCTTTGTCAGGGACGAAGCCGGTAAGGAAAGTAGAGCGAACGAGCCACACTTGCCGCGTGAGAAAAACTGCCTCTAGGAAAAAGACTTGGCGCGCGATTTATGCATTTTCTTTCATGTAGCGTTCGCTCTGCTCTCTCTCTCTCTAAAAAAATGAGACTTCTAATGGCCTGCCTACCCGGAATCGGAATTACTTATACATCAAACTTAATTAGTATTTCCTTTTTGCATACTGTACCTGACTTCAGATTTTACTTTTTAGGTTTAGCGGAACTAGATAACAGCTCCAAAATGATCTGACTACCGAATCTAGTCGAGTGCTTACCATTGATAGATCTAGTCGGTCAGCCTGCCACCGGTTTTGTAACCGGTCGGTTGGTAAAACCGGCTCAGCAAGCTGAACCGGCCCCTGCTCTTGAAGTAGAAGCTGTAGCCAGTTTTCCTGTTCCAATGTGGAATGCAGAAAGCGTCGGAAATTATTCGAAGAGTAGCTGTCAACCTGTGCAACAACAAGCTGAAATCACCTTGTAGTTCTAGAATTTTTTATTCGGCTTGGACAAAAAATAGGCGAGTACTGAAAGAACGAGTAAAATTAAACATAGCCAGTTCTACGAGTTGTAGATATGAGCCTGAGAACATACAGAGGCTGAGAAATGAAAAATAAATAACTGCATGCCAAGTATGAAACGATCATGAAATTTGCGGTAATTATGCTGAGTGAAAACAACTTCGCCTTTTGATAGCAGGGACTTGTTCTGCTTCCTTTACGCCACGTTATCAGCGATATTGATATCGGTTTTGTCCAAGCCGATTTTTTTGACACGCGAAGAAAACTACAAGATTTTTTTCTTTACCTAACGTTGTTGCTTAAATGGCAGCAGCTTTGTGAGTCTTAAGGACTGGCTATCCGCCTTACGTTCAAGAACAGGGACGAGAAAACCTTGCCAGACCGATATATGGTTTTACTAGGTATATGCGTTCTTAAATAACTCCTAATGTAACGTAACGTAGTCTGAATTTCAGACTGTCTGAGATGGCTACCTTGCTCTCCGCGACGTTTTGGAATCAGACGAGGCTTTCGAAACGTTAACTTTTGAATGTCAAACACTAAACAATTGACCGGATCAGGTCACTTTTTTGTTTTCACCGAACCAAAAAGTGCTTTAATTCGTTTTCTCTTTTTGTTCTGTGGTGCCGTTGTGTTATTTTGATGTACAGCTCCCTGGTTGTGGAGGAGTTCCAAATGCTCTTTCCTTCGATGCTGTTAATGTTAGGGGAACTGTTCTCAACAATATTGATTACTACAATATCCGTATGCATGCCACTCACCCTTTGTCTTTGTTCTTCTGTCATTAACGAATCAGTAAAATCGTCCAGCCTTGCCTTCGGAGTCAGGTTAGATCCCGGTGTGAGACCAACTTCTCCTCTCAATCTGATTATCAATAAAAATTTTAACGGTGATACCGCACTGAACTCCTATTGCCTATTTTCGAATCCCTCACAATACTCTCTGTTTTCCCCCCCCCTCCCGAATTTTGCGTAAGTTATTGTTTTCAAAATGATACTCTTCGGAATATGCAGTCCTGCCAGGAGCATTTGAAAACTGTCCTTCATGTCCTTCTTGACGCGAAACTCTCAAATTTTTGTGGTTTTTGCCTGGACGTATCATACCGTTCGCGATTCAACTGGATGTGTCACTTTTCTCACGTGTGAAAAATATCGTTCGCTCCTCTGATTGGCTAGAACTCATTTACATATGAAAATTTACGACACAGCTTTTCATTGAGTATATCTGGAGTATACATATGATAAAAGAGAGTGAAGGCTTCGCCGAAATGATACCTTATTTTCCACCAGCCAAAGTTACTAGTGGCGAGAACTTCCACTTCTTCGCCAGCTCTGTATGACAACTCATCTTCACTCCTTGCATTGTATGACTCAAGAGCTACCCAGTATCCTGATAACAGAAAGAAAAAAAATTATACAGGGCTGTTAAATTTTCGATGAGCAGTAAAGAGGGGAAGACTGGATACCAGAGTCACGTGAAAGTTTGTCCTACGCAGGGGCGGATCTAGGGGGAGGGTGCAGGGGGTGCGCACCCCCCTCTCCCTCAGATGACCTGCTGTTTTCTAATACAACTGGTATTCTGGAAAAAGAAAAAAACTATGTGGTTTATTGGCCTTGAAGTAGAGCAAGAGACGAGTGCACCCCCTGCTAAAAAAAAATCCTGGATCCGCCCCTGCTACGGCCCTTTTGTTCATTCCCTGTGTCGTTCATTTGTGCGTCACCAAATGCACTTTATTTGAGTGTCCATGTATTTAGCACATTTTACGTGTTCATCCGAGCCACGCAAAGATCTAGTCGTTTGCAGGGCAACGCAGTACCTTAATTTCTCGGATAATTTTAGACCCTGAGTATTGGTCCCGTCCCCGAAATCGAATACGCGACCTCTCGCTGTATAGTCAAGCAAAGAAATCATTTAAGGTGGTAAGGATATACTCTTGATAATACTTTGTAAAAAAGCCATGCATAAGAAAGGTCTCTGAGCAAGAAAAAGAAAAAAATCAAGATGCGTTATCGACATCTAAAAGCACTTTACTGCTTACGGTCATCCTCTTCAACTTCTCTCCATTCCTCCTCTTCCAAACGGTGATGAGTATCCATTGGTTCAAGAAAGGTTGCTGGAGCAAAGCCATGATCACCCCTGGAATTTGCCACAAGCCACCATCCTAAATCAGAGGGCGATCAGAGATTAAAGCTCTGTCCACACGTATCAGGATATTTTTGAATCCGCAACTTTTTCTTTCCGGATTGGGCTTCCGTCCACGCGTATCCGGTGAATCCGGTATGCGAATCCGCAACTTTTTGAATCCGCGTTCCAGGGTGGACATTTTTGAATACGCTATGAATCCGGAATCAGATGGACGCTAAATCCGGTTTTTTCTTTATCCGTTGACGTAACAAGATTGAGCCCAGTTCTTTACCATGAATACTTTATTCAAGATGGCAACCTCCTTTCCAGGTTCTCTCAAAGCAGAGCAAGATGTAAATTTCGCGCGCTTTGCGATGCACGCTCTTCTCCCAGAGGAGCCGGGAAAATTCGATTTTAATACGGATACGCGTGGACGTGGAAATTTTTAATCTGGAAAGAAAAAGTTGCGGATTGAAATAAAAATATCCGGATATGAGTGAACGGGGCCTAAAAATAAGGATTTCCAAAACAAATAGCTTTCACAGATGAGGGAAGAAACAACTGAAAAGACATTCAGCTGATTCAATTAAGGTTACTTCGGGCATTATTGTTAATTGCACAAACAGTGGCGGTCACTCAAGCAAATCATTGCATTGTTCTGTACATGTATGCCCAAATACCCGATCACCAATGACCAATTGTCAAAGCAACCTTTATCGAGTTAGGTGTTATATTTTACGGTTTTCATAATATTTGGCAGGTGGAGGGGTTTGAAATATTAATTAATGTCCAAGAATATTTTAGTAGGTGACAGCGGTCCGGTGAGGATGGAGTTGTCAACCACGTTACGACAGGTTTGCACTGAATCCCACGTGCATCAGGCTATCTAAGCTGCCGGTGCTGTCAAGTTACGTCAGGACTCTCCACCGCCGCCCAAGGTGGGGTAATCTGGACTCCGAATCCGGGAAATTTTTCTTGTGGAATCGGAATCGTGGGATGGGGAATCAGGTATCCACCTCAAAGATTCCACAATTCTGCTAACCATTCGAATCCGGGATCCTAGTTCCACTGACAACGGCATCCGGAATCCGAGACTGTCTTGGATTACCCGCCTAAACGATCCTCAAGGTTATGTTACACGGGACGGTTTGCAACGACGATTTTTAGCGCAACAGAGCGTGACAACATTGTTGCGACATCGTTTCGAAAGGCTGCAACATTGTTCCAACATTTGAACCCAGTGTTGCACCAAAAATCGTCGTTGAAAATCGTCTCGTGTGAAATCATCTTTACGTGGGTTGATGACGGATTGAGCCCTCACAAAATAATGACAAACAAGTGGGTTGGAAAAAATTGAAAAAAAAGTTGTTGTATTCTAAAGCTTGGAATTAAATGTTCCCCTAAAGCTGATTCATTGCATCGCACAGTAGTCATTACTGCTAGAAGGACAATAAATTTTATGCTCCAACAGATTTATTCCTTCTACAAAATAATTAAGTCCAGCATGTTTCACACCTGTGCTATTTTTTTCAATGACTGTCACCACCTCGTTTTCTTTTAAGCTCATTTCTCCCCTGCCGCTGCCACTAAATTCTGCCACTGAATAATATTTCTCCACAACTTGTTCATCATTTCTTGTGGGAGAAGTTTGTGGCTTGCTAAAAAATACAAACACAAGAATTAACTTAGCTAACATTTCTTGTTTTATAAACGGTACCTAAAAATTCATCTGTATTCTAACAGAAGCAGGCGTGATCCACTACTTTCCAATAGGCCATTTCCGAGTTCCAAAAAACTCTCATTCTCAAAACGAGGCTAAATGAAAAAACATTCTTGTACAAATAAGTTTTATTTGCAGCCCCCGCCACCCACCGGGGGCATTCTCAACAACGTTTTATATGGAGAGGCTCTGCCCAGAGGTCCAACCAATAATTAGACCCTTTATATGCCATTTTTGACAGAGAAGGTAACCCTTCTGTATACCTTCTATTGACAAATAGTACCCTTTTCACATACCTACTTCAGACCTTTGCATCCTTTTTAAATGCTGTTGATGTATTGTCTTAAAAATATAAATAAATCCCCAAACCAGAATATTATCTCGATTTTTTCACAGTCACAGATTGCATTTGTTAATCCCGTTGGGCCTCTTTACAGACCAAAAAGACAGTTTTTCCTACCCTTTCATATACTTCAACGAGTGAAATCCCTACCCTTTCTGATACCTGAAGCTTGAAAAAGGGACCACTTTTGGGTGGAGCCTCCCTGTATAGGCCATTAGAGGGAGTAACAACCCCCACGTTTGCAGGGGATTAAAAGAACCTTTTTAAATCAATAGCTTTTGCACTTAGCTTCGCTTTGAAACAAAGGCTTGGAACAACTCTCAAACGGCCTATTGATTATGAAAGGTGGAAAAAAACAAAGATATATTAACTGTGGTGCTGCAGTTTATGTTGGAAGCTCACTGGTGGGAAAGATATTGAACATTGTGCACCGTCAAGTCCACAAAAGCATATAACAAAGGTATCTGGCCCCCTTCATTGTTGACATGCTCGTTGACATCTAGAACTGCATGCATGAGTGCTTATTTTACAATTTTAATGGTTAAGAGAGGTATGGGCAAGTTAAAAAAACACTTCATGGATGAAAAACTGCTGTAAAAAAAGTCTTACTTTCTTTCAATGTCATTCCTTAACATGCCAGCATGGTCTGTTCCCCATCGACTGAAGAAGGCCAAGACAATATCAGACTGGGACACAACATAGGGCAAATGGATAACTTTCTGGAAAAAAAAAATTAAAAATTGAATTAAAAGAACTTGTCAGCATGCAACAAATTGGAAATGACACGTCTATAGAGAGAAGTGTGACATCCCATTACCATGGTAGCAAAATTTCTGGATCACAACAATGGCGACCTTAAGCAATGATGGCCGCAATGCATGGCAAAGAGAACAGCAAAAAAGCAATAAGTTTATGTTAGCAAAACAACATCTTCACACGTGCAGCACGTTTTTTGTACATTTCTTATTGAGTGATGCTTTCGGTTTGTTGTGATCCAGAAATTTTGTTACCATGGCAATGTGACATAATGACTTCTCAACTCTACTAAGCAGCCACCTCATCAAGTGGCCACGATCACCTTTTGGCCAGATCCTGACAAGAGGTGTTTTTTATGTCACCTCTGTTAAACCACCATCAAATACTTGATACACTTAGTTTCGCTTCATATTAAAAATATTATGAAGGAAAATACAATCGGAGGTAGAAGGTGATGCATGATTGTCAGGGGTGCATGTACGTGGTGTGAGCTTTTGAAGGTCACACATGCAGGAAGAGTAGTTAGAGTACGGAGGGTGCGGAGACATGTTCCGGTAGAAATCTTTTAAATTTAGGGTCTTGGAAATGCCATTTCTTATTTTTTCCACGAAACATTTTCATTAAATTACCTGTCACTCATGTTATCAGCATTAGGTACAATGTTTGTGGAAAAAAAGATATTATAAAACTTAGTGACGCTATCAAAGAGGTTACAAGCAAAGAAAAGACTTCTACCCTTCAAATGGGCAAACTATTAAACATCAATGTCCTTATGCTAGTGTATGTGTAGAATTACAAGAGAGTTCAATCCCTCATCAGTCACCCCACTATAACGTTGTTTGCAGTCAGCTTATAGAATAATAATGGATAAAATTAAAGGAAATACTAACACAGAGACACTAATATAATCCAAAAGATTTATCTGTCATCCCGATTTAATACTAAAAATGCTTTCAAAATAGAAAAAAATATATAATATTCCCAGATTTCCGCTGTATATACACGGGCGTATATGTGCAGATATGGATGCTACAGTCCTGTTTGTGCGCCAGTGATACCGCTTCCACTTGGTGTTTGTTAATTGTTTTATGATGATTAAGTCCATGTTTCTTCTAAAGATTATCGGACTGCCACCCTTCATTAAGTGAACACTTGTTGTTACACCAAGGGTGGCCACATAAAGGAGGTTCACAACTGTATATTAATTTAGTTTTTGGAGGCTCTAGTGAAATAGCATGGCCCCACAGTGACCAGAAGGACACTTATTACACTGCTAACATTGCTTCAACAACTGCATGATCTTGGCAAAAGATTCATAACACAAATTATAAGTTACATAATTGCTGATTACAAAGCTATGAATATATTATTGAAATTTCAATTAACGTCGTTCTTAATTTTCAATAGTTACCTGGCAAAATTCTTCAACATTTTTACACTGTTTCTTTGAAAATGCTCCAAACAACATCCCACCAGCAAATCGAGTAACTGTTCAGTGTGAAAAGACAGAATTGCTGATAAACCTGCATGTTTAACATATATAACTGGCTAGCATTGAAAGAGACTAATTAAAAGCTCTGAATGCACATGGATATTAATAACTAATGTTTAATATATGCATATAATTCAAAATAAATGATCCTTGATCTGGTGACTTTGATGATTTGTAGACAGCATTTATATCGCGGTAAAATACATATTATGGAATAAAACAAATAATTTTGTTCTGGCAACTCATGCATCAGACCTTACTTATAAGGGTTCGACCCAAACAATAATCCTGCTTTAAGGGTCAAAGTGATTTGCTAGTGCAATAAAAGCAAATGTGACTAAAGGAGAATTGTACCCAACCGTTAAACTAATTTAGCAGTTGTGGTATTCCTGTCTACCATAAAATTACTATATCCTAGGTTAAACACATGATATTACAAAATCTCTCGTGCTAAAAAACTACTGTACTGCTGTAATAGTCCTTCATCCCAACATGACGCCTTCCTTTGTGATTTAGAACAGCATTTGTCTCAACTGATCCACCCCATAAATCTTAGGACAACTTTAATATATAGATACAAAAACTAATGGAATGGAATTAAAACACCCTATGTAATATTACATTCACAGGCAAACAAATCTCATAAGCCATCTTGTAAATGCTGTTGGACTCATGCATTTATGTTATTAAAGACAAATGAGGACTTCTGCTCTTTTTTGTATTTTCGTCATCCTCCATATAACTGTATCATATAATATATGAGTTCAAATTTGTGTAATCTTCTTACCAGGTAGTTCTGGAATTGTAAGACCACTGTTTTGCCTTTCCTGAAATAGATTTTTCAAGCCAGCCTGGAAACAAAAGGAAATTTCATGTAGGTGAATACAGACACCCCTCAAAATATTTACATTGCTTGAAAATGCAACGTAACACAACCAAATGGCGTTTCTTGCAACACAATAACTTTTCAGCAGTATTTGGGATATGCTTTGATTGCATTTCTGTTGATTTGTTTTGTCAGTTATCAGCTCTTAGAACTGTCAACTGTCACTGCACCTCCAAAAAACATTTACAGTTTAATTTTTTTTTTGCTCTGTTAATTATTTATTTATTCAATTGCTGCTTTGGCCACTCTGCACTTTTCCAATGCAATACGTCTCAATAATGTAACATGGTAAGCTAGCCCTAATTTTTTGTATTGCTACATTCAACGTACTTTTGAATAAGTCTTGAACTTGAATTTCTTAATAATTTGGTGATCTTTTTATACGGCACCTTGAAAATCAGGGATATCTGAATAGCTTAATTTGTGATAAACCAGTCTTGACATCTAAAAAAGACTTGGATTAGAACCCTGCACCTGCTTCCAGATTCTGATGGGATCCAGGTGTCTGCAGAAGGAGGGGAAGAGGGGAAGGGCCGGGAAATTGCTAAACATGAGAGCAACAATATTTCAGGACAGATGTCAATGAATTTGAAACTGCAGCAATTTTTTTCAATACAAACCTTATAATTTTAAAGACATTTCAACACCCATAAAATTTGGTCTTTTCAAAATTGACTTTCCAATATAGCAATTTTCTCATGCTCTTCCCATCTCATTTTAAGTTGTATCCCACAATTTTTTGCATTAAGCAGATTATGTGACTGAAGGCTGCACAAGGGCCTCCTTCCTTGGAGGAGTTTGGGGGGCTCCCCAGAGGCATCCCCAGGGAAAATGCCCTGAAAGGTGCATAATTCACTAAGATTTAAGTGCCTTTTGAGCACCAGGGAAAGAATTTCAGCCATGAAGATCAAGCACCCTAATTTAAATACATTTGCTTTATTTTATATATCATATGTTTCTTTTAAAACAAGTACGTATTGCAAAACAAATACGGCAGATTTATTTTCCTCCTTATTATTTTCTCCTTCTTATAAATTATTTTCTGAGAGTATATATTAAGGCCTTATTATACTGCGCTATAAATTCCGATATGACAACAGACGGCATTATTTTTGCCGGTCGACAAGTTTCCAGAGAAACGGCGGCAGTTTTCACTATGTAAGAATTCGTGGAAGTGTTTGTCCCCTCCGACCTTCAGACTTCTTTTCAAACACTTGAAAATTAATCTGAAACTGTTTTCAAGACATAGCATAGGAAGATTTTATCACTTTATATGAAATTACCTGGGATAAAAATCGAATTATATTAAGACCGATTTGTTTACTTTGCATCACTTGATGACTGAATTATCAATAGAAGGAATTTGACATAACCAATCGAGATAAAAACACCCCTTTCGACGTTTTTTACCTTTGTTTTAAACTGATATATTCAACTTTCTACAAAGGCAATTAACCTTTTCATGAAGAATCGATGGAGAGCTGTCGAACATGTAAAATTAAACTTAATTGTTATGTCTTTAAACTGTAGAACAATGGTGTACTCGGGGTGTCGAGGCTAAGAAAAAAAAGGAATTCTCTAGCAGATTATAAAGCTTTTGATGTCATATAAGGATTAGCTTGAAAACAATTGACATTTCAATTGAACATTTATCCGTACAACGTTAACGATTTGTTATTTTGCAAAGGATTAACACTTTTTTTTACACCAAACGGGTTTACCATATAACTTTTAGGGTTGTACGTCGTAATTAGCACGATTCTTATCATTTTCCAATCGATGATTTTACACCTGCTAGGCCCAATATCACGCCTTCATTCCATTTCAAGCATCGACGCCTAGCGAGTCATTTGAATAGTTTGCTGTGCACTTTGCTAATTGTTATTATTTCTTGTGTCAACAAAAACCCCAGGAATAAAACGAGGAAATAAAGGCTGCAATGTGGTGTCCTATAGTGTGAAATCTAGATTACGTTATTCAATTACGCTGTCTCACCTGTAAATCAAAGAACATGCTGTATCGCCGGAATATGTTATATTGGTTTTCGTCCGACCACGTAACTTTCAGTTCGTATTCCTAGAATTATAGGCGTAAAATAGAGACAAAAGTATCAAATTTTGCTCCTGGAATTATTTTCAAATTATTAAGAATATACTATAAGACATAGCCGGTAAACTGCCGGTAAACAAACAAAAATAACACGTGAAATCTTACGCACATAATTCTTTGCAGAGCCTGAATCCTTGGTCTTGCGTTTCTCGACATCAACAACTTTCACGTCCGTGATAGCTCCCTTCTCGTTCGAGGGTGATTGTCTCATGGCGACGAAACTTAGTGATTTCTCTTATTTTCGAGCTCAAGCTTTGTTTAAGACATCCATTGTCCTTAACACTGGACCTCATTCATTTAACAGCGCACCATCAGTTCCATTCGTGCGCGTGACCTCGGTCAACCTGGAGGGCGGAAGTTAAATGAACCCAGTAAATATTTCATGTTTCTTGAAGATCAATACTGGGAAATATGTGGTTAAGTCAAATGGTGTAAACACAAACCTAATTTAGCTCACCTAAATCTTAGAAATAAATGAACTAGCCTGGATCTTTCTTTCTTCTTCAGTAATAAGATAATAAAGCTGATCGAGGAAGAAATTGCAACAGGGTTAGAAACGCGGCGATCGTAACGTGACGTCACGACGACAGTACGTGTGTTTTCTTTTTGACTACGTCAGACTGCAGTATTGGACTGTTAATTTACGATTGGAATGTAATGCAAATGAATTTTTTCCCTTTTTTTGGCAATTTAGTTACGCGACAAATCACCTTTTAGGGTAACGGATGATAAGGGCAAACAAAAAAGGTTAACAAACTGCCTAGATCAAGCATAAAACGGATAATTATTATTTACTTCAAGGCAACTCGTCGGTATAGCTACCTGTATTCGGGGCTTTTAAATATTTTAAGAACTTATCAGTGCGGTTAAAACAGAAAATGGTAAAAAGTGTAAACCCTTACAACTTCTTCAATGTTAACGCTGCCCATTCTCGACAAAGTCAGGAGTAATCGGCTCTTTGGCGAAGTAAATACTGCCCCCCACCCCCGACCCAAGCAATGGGGGTAATACTGACTGCCCAGTATAAGGGTTGAGGGTTCTAGTCTCGACAATGTAATCGGCATTTAAAATTACTTTCTAATTTTATCCAGTAAGTATTTGTTTTGGCGGGACTATTCTGGAGACCTCAGTAGTTTCTGATAACTGATAGCAACTCTAGAATAGGGAGGGATTTTTGGACTTAAGCCAGGCTAGTGAAGGGTAACATGGACAATCTTCTACAATCTTGGACAGAATAAACATTAAAAATGGAAAAGAAAGCCCCATCCCACGAAGTCGCGTGAAAGCCAAAACGCGCCGTTTTCCCATCCTTCATTTTGGAGGAAGGGGATCGAAATTTTCCATCCTTTTTGTGCCAAGATTGTAGTCAGTCTTGTTTAGGCTAGTTAGCGGTTCTAGGATCACAGCGGCTTATATAACCAACCCCAAAATTCCTAAAGTACCTCCCCAAGGGAAAATCCATGCATAAAACGTGTAAGTGAGAAGTACAGAAGTAGTTTACAAATAAAGCTTGGAACGGATAGGAGTGGTGCAACGAGCAGGTCTAACATCAGGACCATTTCAATACACTAACATCGCCACAGAAATTGTTTATGAGAAGCTTGTTATTCTGCCGTTTATACTATCCCTCAACCCTTTTACATTTCAAAATAAATACCAAATAATAAGTAAAGTCATTTTAAAGCAGTCTACTCAGTTACAGGATAACTTCATAAATTGTCTAAATGGTCATGATCAAAGAGTACTCAGACACGATTATTTAAGTTAGTTCACTTTATACTGTTCTTTCGACCAGCTATTTTTAGTTTAGACACCTCTAATTTTGTCAGATAAGCTTAGTCGTCTCCATTAAAGCAACTGTTTCCGGAGTTATATTCGCCATCATGAAAACCACATCTAGGAACAAATCGAAGATGGCTAATGACGTCAAGTTGTGGTTGCGCTTTGGTCGCGCATCATTTCGCTCGCGAGCGTGTGAGATCCTGTCATAGCGTTACAGGAAAATTAAGGCAAAAACATTATAATCAATGACTGAAATGTAGTCACCGTCTTTGGTAAGGACAGTAAAAAAGACGATCCAAAGACGGAATGAACAAATTGAAACAGAGAGGTCGCTTTCAAACCATATCCAAAGGTGTGCGAATTAATCAAACACCAATTGAAACGTGAAAAAAGAAAGAGAAAGAAACGTATCTCTTAAGTGGCTATTTCAAGAAGATCAAGCCATGACCTCAAGTGGTCGCTTGTAAGACGTTAAAAACAAACCCCAAAAAGTGGTCGCGGTCGCTTACGCGAGTTAACGTTGTTTTTTTTAGGACTGGTCAAAAAAGGAAAGGCGGTGCTGGGGGGGGAGGGGGGGGGGTACTCCCTATGATGACCTATACGGGGAGGCTCCGCCCGAAAGGGGTACCTTTTCCAGGCTTAGGTATATCAAATGGTGATGAAAATCGTTTTAGAACAACATGTCATGCAATCCGAAAAAATGTAAAGAACTTATTTTCAGAAGTAAAGGCAACAAGTCTCGATATAACCCCGTATTTGACACTTGTCAATGCAGTAGTGTTGTTCTGCTGGAGGTTACGATCCAGAGTGATTGCAAGTTTCAGGCGCATGTTTAACTCAAATCAATTAAAGCAAACAAATGTTTCCATGTTCTAAGGACCCCTAGAAAAGAGCAATATTCACAAGCCGAAATAGATCACTTGTTCACTTCCGTAGTTTTGCCTAATTTTATCTATGGTTTACCCGTGTATGGGGGTTCTGAACCTGATCTTAATATTATACAGAACCAGTTAAGATAGATATCATAAACGCCGTTTTATTTCTTACCCCGTTTCAATTAAGGATCTATTATAGAAGAAAGACTGTAAAATTTCTAAGAAAGTAACTTACACCCGCTAGCTCCATATATTTCTTCAAAGAAGGTCTGTTCTTATAATCTCCGTAAAAAAAAAGGCGCTCGTCCTAAAAATAATACTGAGCGTTTCATGATAGACAAATATTTAAGAGTGGTTGTCAGAGAAAACCGGGCAAAATGTTAAAAATGTCAACGGAAGGGGGTCAACAGAATAAGTTCATACTAACATCACAGATAGGTCTGGTGGAGTAATGGACAAATATAATAAACATAGGCTCTTCACTGCTCTTGTATTAGAGATACGAGCATCTCTTTATTCGACCCCCTCGGACGCCATTTTTATAAGCAAATTTTCACCATTTTCTGAAACTCACAGAACCCTCAAAATTTAACGAGCGAAGTTTATTTTTCGCATGCGATACAATACATCACAGAACTACTTTCTAAAACCATAAGATTTGTTAAGCAGCCACGGACAAGACTAAAATTTTCTTATTTTATCTGACCTAAACTCAGTGTCTGCAAACGAGCAAAAAATCGGGCATTTTTGAATTGATCTACAGCGCACAACTAAAACGACAGAACAACTCTGACAGCCAAATTGCAGTCTACTATCATCCATGTAACCAAAACACTAATAATCATTTTGGGCCATTGAAACAGGAAGAAATTAGAAAACTCATATTTGTTATAGTTTCCAAGCTTTTTCTTGCAAACAGGCCGATCCCTTCGTGTCCCTTTAAGTCCTCTTCGGGAATTTTCTTCCATATTTCGCTGTAAAGTATGTTCAGCAGCTGGAGAAAATATCAAAAAGCTCGAAATACTGCCTAGGTTACTTGTTCAAAGGGTAAAAAGTGCTGAACGATAGGATGAAACTAGAAAATAACAAAGCGACGCCATCTTGAAAATTCAGCACTCAGGAGGGACTGGCACTAGTAGCTGCGTTCGATATCTAACACGGACAAAAATTTCAAATTTTACACGAGCACATAGAAAACCAAACCTAATATAGAAATGTAACCAGAAAGCCTCGGATTCATGTTAGAATTTTTCTTTATCGAACGTGGGCTATTACGAACTATTACCAGGAGCCTATGGGCTCCTGATTACCAATAAGATAAAAAACAAAAAACAAACAAACCAGCTTATCAGCGACCTACTCCAGTCTTATTTCTTCTTCAATTACTTCTTTTAGTTGAATTTAGCTTTAGAAGAACGCCTGATCGCAGGTTAATTGGTGATTAACTGGCATTGCTTCATTCCCTCCTCATTTAGAGGTGTCCCGTGAATGTAGATAATATTAAAGATCTATTTTGTCTCTTTATGAATCGCTTAACTTCGCTCTCATGCGAGCTAGCTGGACTTGCTATGTATCAACCTCGCGAGTTTCGAAGCGTGCGGGCTAACTGCGGGCAGTGGATATTGCTTGCTGTAAAATTTGTAATAATTTTTATTACCAACTGTTTATTAAAATAAACATAGTACATGCAGTTGAATCAGTTCTGCGGAGCGGGCATTTTAGGCCGCGAAGCGGCCAAGAGAGCCAGTGGACGAAGTACTTTTTTGAAGGTAAGCCTTTTAACTGATGATCACATCGCTGTCACTTCGCATTTCCATAAGGTAATAGACCTTCGAATGTTGACAAGAGCTGTCAAAATAAACCATTCATAGCGTTTACCAGAACCCGGTATACCGGAAAGATCCGGAAGGAGCTTTTGTTAAAAAGTACCATTAAAGGGGTTTTTACGACTCTCACTCCGCACCCCTTCCCCTCATTGTTTTTCCTGCTCACTTCTTTTTCAGAATGCTCTTTGCACAGTCCACACAAGATAAACGCCACGTTTAGAGGGAACGCGCAAATTCTCTTACAGATTGCGGTACTGTTTGCAGTTCAAAAACTTCACGGTTCCGCCGGTCGCATGTAAAGAAAAGGCGAATCCCTGCAAGTTTTTGGCCGTTCAAAAATTTGTAAAAGGGGTCTGAGTGTTAACTCGAGTTGGTACCTTTTCCATCATATTGATCATTTATAGAAGTCGTACACCTGGACGTTTACAGCCACTAGGTTCCTTTTAGTTTACTGGTGTAGCTGTGCAAGAATTGACATCTCCTACATCTCCTCGTCACTGGATTTGTCAAAAACACTCTCACTACGCTGTTTAACATAAACAGTCCTCACATTTAGAGAAATTGTCAAGGTCTTGCCTTAAATTCAGAGGAGGCAATGATTACAGAAATGGAATTTATTCATCTCCTAAGGAGATAATTTCCAATGCCATTTTGTTTGTTAATCTTTTCAACGGCGCTGTTGCAAAAAGTGCGCGCGCGAATCATACGAGATGGCACAAAATGTTCTAAAATTAGCACATTTAATTGCTATGATATATATTTCAGGGGCAACCGACGACAATTTTCGGAAAATATCTGTTCGGCAGACGATTTGCGATTTAGAATTTTCGGAACATTTCATTGTAAAATTCCTTGCTTGCC